TCCAGGAGCGGTGTTATGTGGGAGCGATTGCCATCGTTTCCCCGTAACAACTTCATGAAATTTGGAAATGGCATCATGCACCTTATTATCTTTTTACTATAATTTGAGATTTCTGTAGACGAGTATTATTATTCAACGGACTACATGGGTTATATATGCATGGATAGGCGCCTATAATAAAGTTGAATGTTGATTTCGGTTGTGATACATGTAGGCCTATCATGCACTATGATACAATGTGAGTTAATAAAAAGTATACTTTTTAAAATTAATAATTGTTCGACAAGATCGTAACAGTTCAGATATGGAATACTCTTCCCGCTTCTTGTACCGTTTTTGTTGAGCAAATCTTCACGGTTAACTGCACAGAGGTCGATTTTTGGAGACGATGTCAAAAATCACAGATCACTTGCAAGAGTGACTACTTCAAGGCTTTCCTGTTTCTGGAGTTGGTTATGTAATTATCTTAGTTACAAAGTAAAATTATATAATCATCAATTTCGTGTTAAAAAAATGTCGTCTTTTGTTTGGTGTGTGTGCTATTCGTGTGTGAAATAATGGTTCAGGCTGCATGGTTCCAAAACCAGGAAAGGCCTGTAGCTAGGGTAAGTTGGTTTTGACATCGTCTCCTAAATTGACTCGTAAAGCAGTCAATCATGAAAACTTGCCCAATAAAAAATTGTACCAAAAGAAGCGGGAAGAGCAACTATACTCGTACGTCACATTATTCCAAACTCACAGCTCCATCTTGAAACAAGAAGTGAGAAATGTGTGTAGTTTTTTTTCTGATTGACACTGTATATAAATTATGGTGTGTTTCAAGCATAGACCCTATCCAGGGTTCTTCTGTCTAAATTAAGACTTATGCATATACATGTAGCATCTCGGGACCTCGATTTACCATTCTATTCAACGTACGGTTATACCTTATTATTCATTACCTACGTTTTGGGGGGAAAGAAGGACACAAGAGAGAAGGGTACTGAGTGAGGTAGTGATAGAGTTGAATATAAAATCTCGAATGTCAATTTGTTGAAGAAAGATAATTCAAAAGGTTATCAATCGTACATGATTATGCAGTGTCGGGATTGAGATTAATAATTTTTAAACCACGTCAGAATTCAATTGATAATTTCATCAGTGCATTACATGTATAACTAACTGGCCGTGAAGGTCGTTAAAATCGATAGCAATTCAGGGGGAAGTCTACCCTGATATTTAATTGGTTTTAATAGAAACAGAAAATGAGAGGAACTGATATGAAAGTTTGTGCTAAATCCGATTAAAACTAAGAAAGTTATACATTTTTGAAGTTGCGATCAATCAAACACAAAAATTATTGTAAACTAGCTCTGTGACGTATCTTGCGAGCTTCCCTCCTATCAGAAATGTCTATTTTACCGAAAGAAAATGTTCAAGCATACATGCATGCACCCTAAACAAAAAATTATTGCAAGTATGTTTTTAGACAACCCCTATATGAAACAAATCTATTCCGTCATCAATAACTAAGAAAATGAAAGTTTATGAAATGTCTGTACCTGTAGAGAAAATTTGAGAGGTGCTCACAAGATACGTCACAGTGTTGTTAATCATTTGTGTTTCACTGATGACAAATTTAAGAATTAAATTATTTTGAATCGGGTTTCGCTCAAACTTTCACTTACATGTTCCTCTCTTTTCCCGCTTCTATTAAATATAATTTAATATCAGGGTGGACACCCCTTTTAATATCCGTCTCGTTATAGCAACGTTCAGGACGCTATACTGTCTTTTCGTGTGCTCGGACTTGAAACATAATTTCTGTTTAGGAACACTGTCGAGTGTCGATATGTGACCTAAATAATTTTCTGACATGTTTTCAATATTCCTCCTCTTTTTCGTTCTCCCACCTTACGATGAGGGACACATTTGTAAAATGCGCTAGTATGTTCGAGTAAAAGGAAAAAAAGAAAAAAAGTGAAAGGTTGATGAATTATATTTACACAACAAAAAGGAAGTTCTCCTCGTAAGACAAAATGGTGTAATTACGAATTTGAGTATACTTTCCAGTGTCGATATGATCAAAGGAATTATTCTGACATTTTCCACTATTATTTCTATTTCTCTTCTCTGTCTTTTTCTCACATATTATGATGAGGGACATAATATTTGTGAAATGCGCTGTTATGTTCGTTCATAAGGAAAGAAAGAAGAAAAAAAATGAAAGATTGATGAATTCTATTTACACTACAAAAAGGAAAGTTCTCTGACAAAATGTTGCTATCACAAATAGGAGCTCGTAATGCGAGTTTGCGGTGGAATGAATGAGGACTTTAAAATATATTTGGGTCAATCGAAAATGTACAAGAAAGGGCACCTGGTGATATTTTTTTGACAATATTATTATACTGTCAATGGCTTCTTTTCATTCTTACATTTACTTCCATAATTTAAATGAGAAGCCAAAAAACGAAATCGGAAAATTGCATTTGATCGGTTAATACACTGCCACGGAGGGCACATCTGTTGGTGAATAAGTTGTAATGCATGTACTTGGAAGAGTACTGACCTGCTAACAACAAAACGTAATATGTGAATTTTTGTCTATTTGGGGGAGTGGTTGAAATAGTCATGCTCAAAGATTTTTAAATATTTAGATGAGAGGGACACTATATACGAGCTTATTCATTTTTACGTCACATCATCTTTGCTGGGTTCAAAAGGCTGGCTTCGCAAACGCAAGCACCAGTCCTTCATTTGATATGTGTTCATGGTTAACATTACAAACATGTCGCGTGAAAGATTTAAAAAATATGAGAAACAGCTTGACGAAAGTTCATGAAAGAAAGTGGATAAAGCAAGGAAGTTGTCCTTTGAGTCACGTTGTTGTAATATTTGCTTCAAAAGAAAATCTCCTGTTTAGTAATAGCATTGAGGGAAATGACATTTCCTCATCTTGCTCGGACTAAAATCGCTGGGGCATTACAAGTTGACTTAAATGAATTTCTTCTTGATATACGATTTTGTTCAAAATGTCATTGACAATGTACATGCTGTTCTATATACTTTTTTTTTGGTGCTTTTCTTCTTAACAAGGTGCTACGTATGTTCTTTTCAAATCAACGTCATGTACTAAGTGACAATGTTTATCTTCTCTCCGGTTCTCTCTGTATATATGTTTTATTTTTGCGACTTTTAATAGTTATATAAAAATTGAGATAATATTCGATAAACCATTGTCACTATTGGCCCATATACAACTAATATATAATTTCTCAAAAGCTACTGATTCACCATGATAACCCATCGAATATTAACGTAAGTGTAATTTTGATACCTTATTGCCTTTAGAAATATCCATTTAAGATTAGTGGTGTTATTACTACATGACTATGTATTTTCAAAAAAGGCGAGGGAAGAGGCTATTGAAATTGCCTTGGGTTGGTTCTTCGAAAGTATTTGGGTCGTGTTTACTATAGGTTGATGAATGCTTTTCCCCATCAGTGACACTATATTAGAGCTCTAAGAAAGACCTTTCGATTGATGGATATTTTAACGTGATTGACTTCAAACCAATCAGAATCACTAAGGCCTCATCAAAACAAGGTTGCGTTTGATTTTCCAGTTTGGTTTATTAAGTTGTAACTTGTGAGAGGACCAAGTGCTTTCTTTTTCTCTTTCTTGAATTTCTCCTTTTTTCTGAACTCGATATGAACATTTTAAATTCTGATAAATCCACGCCCAATCGTTTGAGTACGGTAAGGAGAGAGGGGAGAAGAGAGAGTGGGAGAAAGTGTGTGTATGTTTAAAGAATGAGAATTTTGATTTTTGTGAAACAAATGTTATGTGCGCTTTATTGCCTCAACTGTATAAACTCTAATTTGAATTATCCGTCTTTTCGCATCCTTGAAGATATGAATTCAAACTACGAATCTGATATGAATATAATAAATTAATTAATAAAGAAATAATTTTTAAAAAATGGGCGGGAAGCGTCCGTTCGGGAGTTTAAAAAAAAAAAAAAAATCTTTGTCTCTATCTGTTTATGTCTGTCTTTCTCCCTCTCTCTCTCTCTCTCTCTCTCTCTCTCTCTCTATCTTTCCCTCTTCTTCTTCGTTTGTTGCCATTCGGGGTGGGGGGGGGGGGCGCATACCCCCGATCACCGATCTAGCTACGCAATGGGTACCACAGTGAGAGAAAAAATATATATAATGTGATCCGTGGCATCCGTCAGTGCTATTCACTCACGACACATAAACTGGAATCCCTATGAACTTTAAAAAGGAAGTTAGTATATATACATTACTTTCTATTGGGTCTTCACGCATGGTGCATGAAACGCTTGCTCATCGTAGACAGGGCCCGCGGAAGACGAAGGCTCTGATAACGCGCGTTCCTCAAAATATAGCCGTTGCGAGGCGGGGTCGCGCCATCACTCGGCTTAACGCGTATAGTCTGCGAATAAAACAATCAACACAAAGGGTTCCGAACTAGACTGTAACAGCTAGTGGGCTCCAATCGCAAACTATATAAAGAGTGACCCGGGTTTAAAACATCCCTCTCACTATCATTTGTTTTCCATATCTCCCGAATAATGTATTATGCAAGTGTAAAATGAAATCTTTGCATTATTTCTTTTCCCCATGATATTCTTCAAATGATTTGGTCTCACATGAAATACATTTTAACAGTTTCAAACAATATTGATGTTTAATCATAAAATTATTCAACTTGGGAGTTTCAGTTCAGTACAAATTTTTCAAATGTGATAAAATGTACAACAAAGATTCTTGTGTAAATATGGCACTATATCATTAGAGTTGTGAAAGTCGATAACTGTAAATGTATAATTTTTAAGAAGTTTGAAGTATGAATGTTCTCTCTCTCTTTCTGTCGTTTCATCTTCCTCTTCTACTTCAATGTCTTCTTTTCCTCGTTCTTCTTATTAGTAACTTTTTTCATATTGCGTGTCACAAAATCGAAGTAATTTTTTTCTCTATTTTGTTCTTATTCCTCAGGATTTGCTGTTTCTTCTACTGCTAAACAGGACCAAATTATTGTTCAGCTTTCTCTAATTGAAGGAGAGGGTATGACCGATTGATCAGGTAAATAACAAAAACTTGAAAAGTATATTTATAAATCATGGATATTTAAAACAAAACAGGACCATACAAAGGGACACCCATCTCAAAACTTTTAAGTTTCATGATTTATTTGTGAAGGATGTATTTTAGGATAATGCATAATTATGGAGTAGCTATCCTGCCCAGTTCTCAACTCGTGCGTTATTTTCTAAGATTTAGAAGTTGACAATTTTCTTTGTTTTGCTTCCTTAGGACTATTCTTCATTGTTGATCAGGAGCAAGAGTGTTACGGTACTTAATCATCTTATTTGAGGAATGACTCATTGAGTCAGGTAAGTCAAGTATTATTTCTATAAGAAACTTTTATTTCTAGGACTATATAAAATCTATAATGCTATCTAGGGCTTTGACTGATTGTGATTTGTCTATGACCTAAAGAAAATGTACACAAATAGAAATGATGGTACATGTAGCAGAAACTGACTTTCCAGCCAAGCAATTATTTTCTCTGTATGTTACAATTTTTAGAAATTCGATGAATTTATGTTAATATTGTTTTTCTTTTCTTTATTCTTCGTTTTAAGACTTTGAATTTTCAGGTTAATTGTATTCCCTATTTGTTTGATTCCAGCAAATGGCATTACTGAATATTCCCTTTATGAATATTTATTATATTTCTTATGAATTGGTCATCTTATCATATTAGTCAATTTTTAGAGAGTTTTTGTCAATTTGTAATACTTTTTACTTTTTTTGCCCAGGATGATTATTATTTTTCAGTCATCTTTTTTCTTGAATAGTGCATATTATTGTGTGAAATGTAACGACAATTTTAAGGTAATTTATTTAAATGAAAGAGATATAATGATTTTTTATGTGATAGGTCATTAGCGGTAGTGATCACTCTCTTTAGTTTGGCAATAGTTGAAAACCTCTAAATATTTACCCAACGATTTCCAGTAAGGTAATTAAAAGCTTTATAGTCACATAAAATACTTTCACACACTCATATTTACATGGATTCTATCTCTGTTGCATTTACAGGTACTTCCTAAAAACCAAGGCAGTAAAATCAACCATGATTATCTTGCGGCTCCAAGGGCTTCCTTGGACCGCTACAGCCAAAGACATCCGTCAGCATTTTGAGGGTTTGTCAATTCCAGATGGCGGTGTACACATCATTGGAGGAGAGGAAGGTGATGTCTTCATTGCTTTTGGCTCTGATGAAGATGCCCGCAAAGCGATGCAACGTCAAAAACAACCTCTTAATGGAGGCCGCATTATGCTCTTGCTAAGCAGCAAGTCAGAGATGCAGGAGGTGATCGCAGAAAGCAGAGCTGCAGCACAGAGTGTGAAGCCCGACCCCTTTGGCACGGTTGGGATTGTCACCCCATCCGTACCTCAGACCAGCCAACGTAGTTTGATTTCCAGAGAGGGCTCCGTAACCAGTTCCCACAGTCAGGGTTACCAAGGGTTTCCCCAGAATGATGATCAACGCAGACAACCAACTGGATATGGTGATAGTTTTCAAGTTGGTAATGTAAATGCCCCTAGTCAGTCACTTCCTCCCCAAGATTATAACACATCATATCCACCATCACAAAGTAATGAGAGACTGGATTATGGCCAGTCCCAAAATCAAATGTATGGAAACGATCGTTTCAAAGAGGAGTCTTTCGGAAGAGGAGATGCTAGTCAACGTTCGATGTATCAGGAATTCAACCCCCAAGAGAGAAATCTAGGTATTCGAAGGCGAGAGGACTTAGATGCTGCAAGGCAAGGATCAACAGGCAGAGATAAAGGGTATCCACAAGAGTCAGCTCAGTTTAATAGGCTATCTGAGTATGATAGAGGTGAGAGGAGAATGCCTTCTGCAGATGTTGAAGATCGACAGTTTCGATCAGGTTCATATGGCAGTAGCTCAGGCCCTCTTACTTCAGATCGTGACATGTCTTATATGCAGGGTAGTGATAAACCCCGCAGTCTCCTTCCATCCCCGGGAATGATGAAATCAGATGAAAGAAGCTATCAAGAACAGCTTGATGACCCAATGGAAGGAATATCCACTTCATATCCTCCTGCAGGTCCAGCTGACGCGTTTGACAACCGTCAGTATTCAGATGAAGACCAAAGAGGAAGTGGTAAACAGGTGGAACCAAGAGACATCTATTCTGGACTCACACAACCGATGTCTGGATATGGCAGGCAGAGTATGGATAAGGAGCCTGATAAAGGTAGATACATCAAAACACCATATGAGGATGCATACTGGGCAACAGGTACTTCATCGAAAGATCGGCCCTCTGAGCCAATGCAAGGAAGAAAACCTGATGATATCAAGTCCTTTCAAGATAATCAGGGCAAGCCCATGACAGAGAGAAGAGAAGAATACTACCATAGTCAAGGGTCCAATGAAAATGAAATGAAAGGAGATTTTTCTGGCAATGAACAATATGCAAGCGCCCATCTTGATCAAGGAACCTTTTATGACCAGAAAGACAAACCAATGGAATCATTTGGCATGGACCGTTCTCAATCTGCTGGGTATCCAATGTTTCCAGATTACAGATCTGGAGAGAAGTCCTCTGATTTTGACAGTCGTTTAGGAGATATGTCCAAACGTGCTCCATTGCTGAATCAAGAACCACCTTTTTCTTCTCTCAAAGCTGCTGGTGATCATCCCTCTTTCGATTCTCAAACATACGGTTCAAGAAGAGATCATGAACCACCAATTTCTTCTGCTCCAGCTCTGTTAGATCATCCTGCTCCTGAATCTCCTATTGGAGCCAAATTGCCATTGTTAGAACCATCAGGTGATGAGTTTTATGCAGTGCGCCTCACTGGATTACCTTTCGACTGCACAGACAGAGGTGTCAGACTGTTCCTACGTGATATCAACATTGCCCCTGATGGTGTGCAGATACATCGTGACCATCGAGGACGTATAACCGGTACTGCCAATATAAAGCTACAAGGACCAAGTGATATTGACCAAGCACTTAAAAGACATCAACAGTATATGGGAAAACGTTACATTGATGTACGTCCTTGTCTTCAATCTGAGTGGGAAAAAGAAAAACAAGTATCCAGCGCTGAGCCATCAAAAAGACGAAGTAGATCACCTGTGAGAGGCAGAAACTCACCCCTGCGAAATTGCAACACCTGCATTGAAATGAGAGGACTTGCTTCTTTCACAAAAAATTCTGACATTGTAGACTTCTTTGAAGGGTTAGCAATGAGGCAGGATAGCATTTATTTGGACCCAAATAAAGATGGTTCTGGCTCTGGTATAGCTTACCTTGAATTTATTGACCCGGATATGGCAAGGAGAGCATGCCAGAAGAATGGGAGACAGTTTAACAGACGAACTGTTTCAATCAGAATCATTTCAAAAGAAATAATGGATGCAAAGATCACAGATATGAAAAGAAGGGCTGAAAGACGCTCACCCGCAAGAAGAAGTCCAGACAGACGAAGAGGAAGTAGCCCATACAGCAGGAGAGGACGTAGCCCAGGTAGAAGGGGTAGGAGTCCTGTTAGAAGCAGTAGCCGTAGCTCTCCAGGAAGAAATGGTCCAGGGAGAAAACCAGCTAGCCCTTCAAGAGACAGAAGAGATAGAGATAGAGACAGAGACAGAGAGTCATCACGTCAGAGCAGAAGAGCTCAAAGCCCTGTTCGCCATAGTTCTCAAGACAGAAAAGATTCAACATCAGAAAAGAAAGATAGGAAAGATCAGGAATCAAGAGAAGTAAGGTCTTTGAGTAAAGTTGAGGAAGTTAAAAGTCGTGGGTCACCAAAGACTGAAGATAAAGATCGCATACACAAATCAGTGACTTCCAAAGATGCTCCTCCTAAAGCATTGTTGCCATCCCCAGACCTGGGGATGATACAAAAAGAAAAAGGGAAAGATCAGGGACTGCTCAAAACCCCTGAGCATCCTGCAAATGAGATTCCTCCTGCTTTTAGTCGCAAACAAAAGGAAGTGGTGCCTGTAAATATTCAACAACGTTTCCCCCCGACTGATGGCAGAGCTGATGTAACAAAACAAGCACCAGTCATAGATTTTCATGCCATACGAGATGCTGTATCCAGATTCAGCAAAGATACAGTAGATTTGCAAAAAGGGGAGGGCAGACAAGATCCCATGGAAAGCAGGCATGGTGTACCAGAGAACAGACAAATACAGATGGGAATGTCTGGAGGAATGTTAGGGGATAACAGAGCAGGTCCAAGGGATAATTTTCCATTTGCTGATGAAAGACAGGAGGGAGAAAGACCAATGGATCTTCAACGTGGTCCATTGGGAAGTTCACGTAGAGGGTTTGGAGACAACAGACGAGATGGTCCTATGGATATGCACAGTGGTCTTGCAGGCAATACATTTGGTGAGCCTAGAGATGACATCCAAGGTGGTTTAGTAGATACACATCGTGGTCCTTTAGGCAATGCACCAGGTGGACCTATGGATATGCATCATGGTCCATTTGGCGGCCCTAGAGACAACAGGGGAGACGATTCTATGAATATGCACCGTGGTCCTATGGGCAACACACGTGGGCCTGGAGACAAAAGAAGAGATAATCCCATGGATATGCACCATGGTCCATTTGGCGGCCCTGGCGATAATAGGAGAAACGATCCCTCAGATATGCATCGCGGTCCATTTGGTGGCCCTGGAGACAACCGGCGAGGTGGTCCAATGGATTATAGACAAGAAGGTGGCATGTCTGATGGACAAGGAAGAATGCAAGATTCCTGGCAAGGTGGACCCAGACCTGGCAGACAGAATGATGATATGGGTGGAGCTCGAATGCAGAATTCCCAGGGACGATCTCTGGAAGAATGGCGAAAAAATCCAAATAAAGAAATGGATGGTTCCATGGATTTTAGAGAAGAACGACCCAATGAAGAAAGAAGACACCCTCTTTTTGAGGATCATGGGCCACACAGTAACCGTAGCGGTGAAAGAAGAACACTTCTTGATAGACCTGAAGGTCCACCTGAAGGGAATGATAATGAGAGAGATGTTGATCGAAGACAGCATGGGGTTTTAGATCGCCAAGATACAGACCGCAGGGATGAGAGGAGACCAGGCGGAATAAACAGAAGGGATTCAAGCCCAAGGAGGTGGACTGGTAACAAGTCAGAGGAAAGGTTCCCGTCTGGGGGCTTTGGCTTTCCAGAACAGGGTTCGGATGATCATTCATTAGGCAGAAATGGTCCTGGTTCAAGAGCTATTGATAGAGATTCCTTTCCTGGAGATAAAAGGAACTTATCCTCCCAACAGAGCGATCCTCCTTTCCCGCAAGGCAGGAATATACCTGGTTTGCTTGATGAAGATAAAGGAGAAATTAAAAGAGGAGGATTGGACAATCAAGGGTCGAGGGACCCTCATGGTCGTATGGACAGGCACCGTGGGTCTCAAGATAGATCTGATCATCGAGCAATGGACAGAGGTATGCATGAGCCAGGGGAGAGAGAGCCACATCATAACACAGGTCCTCTACCAGGGCCACATGGAAGACCTGAGGATGCTGGTACCAGTGAATATGTGTGTGCACATATCAGAAATGTGCCCTACTCAGCACGATGGCCAGATATTGCTCATTTCTTCAGTGGCTTACAGATTGTTCCTGGTGGTATTCATATAATGGTTAACTCAGAGGGTAAACCGACTGGTCACTGCTTCATTGAATTTGCCGATGCCCACAATGCTCGTTTGACAGAAGAACGTAGACTTCACCCCATGAGAGATCGGCCACTTCAGATCAATGCCTGTTCTAAGGCAATGATGATACGTGCTTTGGAGGAATCTGGAGAAATGATGCAAAATAGACCTCAGCATAATTTTGCAGGACGTGGTCGAGGGCCATCTTTTGGTCCCAGAGGACCACGTTTCCCAGGAGATATGAGAGGTCCTTTCCCAGGTCAAGGTCCTCGTCATAGTTTTGGTCCTCGTGGACCACATCCAGGTGGCCCATTCAGACCTCCATTTGGAGAGCCAGATAGGATGGGTGATGGCCATCCCCGACATCCACATAATCCTAGACATAATGAAAGGCCTCGTGAGGAGCGCGAGTATCAGAAACCACAACCATTGAATACTGAAAGGCCTCGTGAGGAACGCGAGTACAAGAAGCCACAAACATCGAAGGAATCTGCAAAATCTGAACCTGTCAGCAAAGGACCTGGTTCAGCACCCAAGGCAAATCCCCCTGGGGAATCCCCAAAGAAACCACAACCAGAAAAACCCAAAGAAACTCTTCCAGAGGCAAAGGAGAAAAAATTAACTCCTGTATCAAGTGCAGCTCTTTCTGTTCATCTTGATAAACACAAGGGCTGTGTTGTTACTGCAACAAATCTCCCACTAACAATTACTGTTGATGCTATTGGAGATTTCTTTAAAGGTTGTAGTACAATTAAGGGTGCTATCAAATTGGACACCAATGAAGCAACAGGCAAAGCAACAGGACAAGCCAAAATTGTATTCACAAGCCCTGCAGAGGCCAATCGTGCCATCAAGGAGCGAAATAATCGACCACTCAATGGACGAATCGTAAGACTCCATGTCATGTAATTCTTTTCGAAAATTCAATCCTGCTTTTGGATAAGACACTGATCACGCTATCAGAATGATGGAGTTGATTCATTTGAAATTTTGTTCTGATTGATAGCAGCATTCAAGATATTGTGAATGATACATTTTTAGTTTGCTGGATTTTATTACATATTACATTTATTTCTTCCCTCGTGGCCTATTGCATTTTCTTGAAAAGAAAATACTGTTATGTGTTGAAAGGTTTTTTATTTGACCAACCTGTATTTTGATTATCAACCCTGTACCTTTACATTCTCGAGCATATATAATGTCAATTGTGTTTTATATTTGTTTGTTATTGACCATCTTTTCCCCAGCAAAATTCATGATCTTCAGAATGTAAGGAAAACCATTTTGAGATATTCGTTGTCATGATGTTCTGGAGTTCATTTGAAAATTACTTCAATTCTCAGTTCACATGAATGGATTTTGACAGTACCCAGTCTTACACTTTTAGCCAGGTTTGTGTTATTTTGTCGAGGGAGGTGCATGAGATCTTGTTGCTTTTTCATAAGTTTCTTGTGTCCAGATTTTTTTCTAGCACATTCTAAAGTGTTAAACATCTCAATGAAATGTGTGTAAAACTCTGGTATTAACTTACGTAAGAGTATACTAACACTAAGTTTGATCAAGAACATTATCTTGAATGATGAAAATAAGGCTTTTCTGTACTCATTGTTGTAAAAATACAGTCCAAGTAGTTTAAATGATAGTTTTGGCACATGTGAAGTCTTGTTTCATTGTTGTTATCTCTAAGAGCATTGTATTACAACAGTTTCAAAATTGTTATTTTCATTTCGAACTGTTACCATTTGAAATTGTTAAGGCAAGTAATGTGCTTATCGTAGAAGATTCTCTTTTTCTTACATTTTTATGTTTTACATCAATTGTACATATTCAAAACAGAGTGACCACATAAATCATGGGTGTTTTTTTAGCTCAGAATGAAACGGTCGAAGAGTAAATAGAGGTCAAAGACTTACATTATATGCTTCAAAATTGTTTGTGATTTATCATTATGTATTTTTTTTGTACAGAACATCTGTGCACAAAATAGCCCAGGAGATTGGGGGAAATAGAACCCAGGACATCTTGAATATGGATCTTATTTTATTACATAGCAATCATGAGAAAGGACTAATTATGATGAATAGGGCAAATAATACTGCTGCTAAATTAGCAATTGGTATAGTTGAAGAAAAAGATACTGTTTTGTAACTTTTGTTAAAGGTTAATGTTATTTCACTTGAAAGTGTATAGGTTGGATTTCTATTCCTGTCAAACCAACAAATTTTAGATTGTGTGTTTCCTTTGTATATTTCACCCTTGTAATTTCTTTTAAGTTCAACTCATTTGATTGCATGTACATACATTTTTCTACCTTTCTACCACAAAGAAGAGTGAAAATGATTCTTGATTAGGCACTATTTTACTTGAACTGATTTTAATGTCGTAGCTATAATATTATAAAGAAGCAAAGTTAAGATGATATCGCTTAATTTTAAATGAAGCCTGTTTTGGACATTTTGTTGCATGATATATGTTGGAAAAAGGCTCATCTGCCTATTAATAATTAATGCCCGTTCTGGCATATTTCATCATTGTTGTGGCATTGGTTTATACAGCTTACAGCTAGTACACAAAAAGAAAAGTTTTGTTGTAGCAAAGTTTATCTTTGTTTTGTATATATATTCCTGCTGAATGATGTAACCACTGCATTTTGTTCCAATTGATGTTGCTTTTTTTTAAAATATATTTTTGAGTGATAACCCAGTTTGTTAGTCTAAGAAATACATGTACCTGTAAATGTTCTCACCACTTCATCATCAAAAAAGTTCATTAACTGAACTCATTCTTTCTATCATACCGTTCTTTGTGAAAATGAAAGCTTCACTGTGCCTATTGGAGTGCACTGTTCTTTTTTTTTAAATTTCCAATTTATCTTGTGTACATACATGTATATATTCTTACTGTCATCATTTTGTTTGTGAAATTGGTAACTATACTAGGCTCAAGCCTCAATATGTTGTTCACTTTTTGTTTATTCATTTTTTATTTTTGTTATTATTGTTTCCAATTCTGCCCATCTGAATCATATTTCTTGTTACAATGATCCTTTGATATTTTTTGTTCCGTTTTTTTTAATTGGGGCGAAAGAAGAGGAGACCCCTAAAAGACCCAAGGTTCGCGGCATGTACCACTTTCATTTGGTGTCAATAGATACATGTATAAAGTGTAGATTTTTTGCAACTTTTCTAATGCTTTACTTGTTTGTTTGTCCCCTAGCTGTATGCTATGTTAAAATCTGTCATATGAAGAAAAAATTAATAAGAAAATCATCTACTGGCTGATGTCATACAGTTTTATTTCAGTTTGTACAGATATATGTGCCGAATTGGTTCTGTCATGAGGTTAGAGTGGTAGTGCTTAAGAAAAAAATAGATTCTTCTTTTAATTATTGAAATGTGATGTCTATTTATACTGGTTTGACACATGCTCCAGCAACATGCAGCTACTCCAAGAATCTCTACATCAATTTTCAACACTTTCTAAATTCCTAACTTCAACCCTGGACCAAACAATAACCCTAACCCAAAACCCAACGTAAAACAGAATTGCAACCCTGGCATGAACTTTGATGAAACAAAGCACAGAGCAAGTGTTGCTTGAGCAAATGTCATGTCCCCATTTATCATTCATGTAATCAGCTTTTGAATAACACAGTCTTGCACCATTGTGAATGGTACATGGTGTTTGTGATTATTATATTGGAAAACGTGTCTGTTTCTTCAATAGATCGTTACTTTCACCACAAACTTGATTCATGATATAGTAAAGGTTCTTTTTTTCTTCTTTTTTTTTGCACCTTGTTAACTTTTTGGGTGTAAGTAATCGCCTGAATGCATTGTTTCATGTATTATTATGTATATTCATGCTCATGTGTTTGCATATTGTTTTGTTAGTTCAGAATACAAATTAAAACATGTTCATTTGAACTTTGATCATTATTCCAATTTCATTACAATATTTGTTTTGAATTAATTGTTCTTATCGTAGACCACAATTGGTCTTAAACCACAATAATTTAAATGATAATTGTAACTTATTAATTCAAGATGGCCAAAGTTATTAATACAAAAAAAAAAGTGGATATGATAGTGTTATATACTGCGATTGCATGAAAGATGAGGATGACAGAGGGAGGCAAAGAGGGAGAGAGAGAGAGAGAGAGAGAGAAAGGTGGGAGAGAGAGAGAGAGAGAGCTGTTAGAAGAGAAATAGATTGTGTAGAGAGATTTGAAAGTGCTCACTGATTGCACTTCGAAATGAGAAATGCGATTTGAGAGCTACATTGTATAATTTGTGGTAGATAATTCATACATGAAATATCTGTCAATCATCATCACTACATGTACATACATGTATCCTCATGTTGAACTGCTGAAGTTCTACGACAAAATCTCTTTAAGCCAATCAAACGACACGATATCGGTAGCTTATAACGGTCATTGTAACTTGTTTTTGATGACAGGTTTTATGAAACTGGGCAAAGTGATTTCTTCCCCCCCTCTCTCTCTCTCTCTCTCTCTCTGCTTTCATCATATAATTTACCTCTTTCCTACCTCTTCTATCTCTCATCTATTCCTCTCTCTTTTATCTATTTTCCTCTTGCTCATGATTTCAATCAGATTAATTGAATACCACAACACGTCACATACTTTGTAACTCAGCTAAAATGTACAATACATATATAGCAACTTAGAGCAGCACTTTTCAAAATTGTAACTCGTGACAGAATAATACCGGACAGCATATATCACATTAATAAATATTTCTATATTCTAGTACTTATCGAACAACTTTGATCCCCTCTTAGTCATATATAAGTAGTCAATAATAATGCCAAGTGCAACACTTAAAACACAAAGCTTACAGAAAAGAATAACAAAACGTTTTACAACAGTATGGACGGTTAAAAAGCAAGGTGACTCAATTCTCAAACGTAAGAAAACTAAAATCATAACTTAACCTGCAAAAATATCAACCAAAAAGTAATAAAATGTGTGTTTACAGAATATTTGTTGTTCTTTTACCATTATTCAAACAGACCAGACATGATTTGAACTTTGTAATTATTGTAAATATGATAGAGCAACAAACTGTCAAATTATCTTATGAAAACAGTGTTGGTAAAGGCAATTGATTTGGTATAAATTTTTCTTGATGTCTCCAGATAGTCCAACAACAAACAACAATATTTTTTTCAAATTGTATAAGACCTTCTGTCCAACTAATTTTTTTTATCCTGGAAGTACGGAATTCAAAATTGTTCTTGATTTCAAGATGTATCAACATGAAGAGAGTGTTAACTGTAAATTCTAAACTCAGAAACAATTTTGTCAGTGGGATAATCATTAATACCAGATACTCATACGTAATGCAATTTTGTGTTTTTTAAATGGCAACAACGCATGTGGTTTGCTTAATTAAACAAAAAAAAAGTTAGATCAATTTCTTACTCCTTCAACTTTTAGTCAGGTACCGGTATACCATCAGTATATATAGCATGCTCTTTTCAAAACACTTTATTCTTAGAGATCATAAGTAAAAAGAAAAAAAAAACACAAATATGAAAACAAGGATATCCCTGCAGCTAAATAAATGGCTAGATGTAAATACATGTATCTATGTAATAATTTTGTCTATATCAATGTACATAGCACAACAGTGTTCAATTAGTAGACATCTCTTCATACAGACCATACTTCTTGTATAAAACTTTTGGCAAGTCAAACAAAATTTAAGATTACTTCATAAATATACATGAAGTTCAATCTCTAACAAGATTCAATTTCTTTCTACTCCTTTGGTCTATATATTAGAATTGTACAAACATCAAAATGATAAATCCCTGCACTCATGGAGTATATCTATCGTAATAATCGTATATGAATACAAGCATTGTGTGTAAGAACAGCACCGTATCGTCAAATGAACTATCCATACATAAAATGAAATAAAGCAAATACCTGTCCAAAGATCTCTGACAAACTTTCACAATCAAGAAAAGAATAAGATTAAGCCAGTGGCGTAAACAGGATTTCAAGGGGGGTGTTTTAAAATTTGAAAACCGCGCCGAAAATTTTGCAACGACTCAGCCAGCCGCTGAATAAGAGCACCCCCCCCCCCCCCCCCCCCCCCTGCGTATGAGCCTGGATGAAGCATATATTTGGAGTTTCACCTAATTGATTTTGTGTAAAACCCAAAGTGCTACGATACAACAAGTGTTTCATTAAACCACGCCTAATATCCTGATTCTTTCAGTGAGTCATTGACACCAGTGAACGTGACCGGTGGGTGTTATTACTGGTTGAATATGTCTGCTTTCATTCCCTATAAAAGCACGAATTACTGTCTGTAAATATTTTTTTCTTTTCTTTTACCGACCTCGAAAGGCTGGGGACAAAATTCTTGTGGATCTTAAACTACCATATCAAACTACCTGCAGACACAACAAATCACAATCCAAATATGATTGACTTGGATATTGATCAAATAAAGTTCTATCAATCTTGCATTTCTAGTACAGTCTAATTTCATTACGTTTCATTACAATAACATGTACTAAGGCAAACAAAAATCAAGGTGTCATATCTTTCTCATATATAGTCCATGCAGAGACATCACAGTAAAAAATCAACACATAACAGTACACATGGCCAATATTCCACTTAATATTTCTATATTTTGTATTTTGTGTCCCATTTTACCATGACATTGACAATACAAAGTTCATTAATACAGAATACATTTATACCAAAAATATTAACCTGATTCAAAATGCGTCAAATACATTCAAATCTCATCTTTTGTAGTACTCTTCTGCCACATCTTCTTCACTATAATCCTCATCATCGTCGTCATCCTCCTCATCATCCTCCTCCTCATCATCTTCCTCAGAGTACTGGAGCTGTTGTTTGGCAGGTCTCCTCCGGTCTACGGTCGAAGGGCGTGAGCTACCAGTGGTTGAGTTGAGGGATTGCTTGGAGTCGCCTCTGAATAGACTCTGCCGCGAGTTGCTGTCTGCAGCACTGAATGGCCTGAGTGAATTCCTGAATTCCTGTTTGATACAAAATGACAAAGAAAAAAAGAGGAAAAAAAGAAAGTTGTTGAGATGATAGCTATACAATTTCTAAATTGAAATTCATGTACTTCTTTTCATGGCACAACAAGTGTCTCTTGTTTATACAGTTGTGATTTAATACATCTGCAGAAATGAAGCTCATATTGACTTTCAACCAATCCGAATCACATATACAGACATTTCTTTTGTGTTTTTTCACCCGCATTTTGTAGTATAATACAACTATTGTCCAAGTTTTTCTTCACCAAAATACCTTACCATCAACTTTTGACCCTTGCCTTAATCTATACCCTTAAATTCAATAAATGCAGTGGTGAATATGAATATGAAATGACATGGATAATCCCAAGACGAAAATCCAATTGAAACCAATTGAACACCAATTGAAATTTCAATTGGTTTCAATTGGTTTCAATTGGTCTCAATAGGTTTTAACAGGTTTCAATGGGACCTCAGATGTTTTCAATTGGTCCAGATTGGCCCCATTGGACAAATTGGCCCCATTGGCCTAGGCCCCATTAGACTTTAATGGGTCCCCAATTGGTTTCAATTGGTCCGGATTGGCCCCATTGGACAAATTGGCCCCATTGGCCCCATTGGCCTAGGCCCCATTAGACTTTAATGGGTCCCCAATTGGTTTCAATTGGTCCGGATTGGCCTTAATTTGGACTTCAATTGGTCCCATTGAAACCAATTGACCAATTGAAACCAACAAATCTAGGCATCTCATGAATATTCATTATCACTTTACACGTGTCACAGAAAAATTAATTTATCATGATTTGTTAAGCAAATTATGACAATGCACATCAATTTTGTGATTTCTTTATTCCTTCAGCAATTATTAACCAATAGATTATTTTGTCTGATCATGTTAAAATTACATTCACGTTTTAGCAATAGATATATTGATTTATATATTGATTATATGATTACTAACCAAGAAACAATATACATATTTAGTATATATATTTGTATGAGCCACTGGCACTGTAAATGAAACTCTTGAATTCACTTCAAATGATCTTTGAGATGAAGTTAATGCAAATGAGATTGGAATATACCTAATTGGTGGACAGTTGCCATTATCGATTATGAAGTATCAATAATTTATCACTGGTTCTTCTAACTGGATCGATTTACCAATTGGATCCCCATTGAATTTCCCCATTGAATCCCAATTCAATACCAATTGGCAATTTGGAGTAAATGGAAAGGGAAACAATGGGTACCCATTGAAACCAATTGGCAATTGGTCCCCATTGGAACCAATTGGCAATTGGTCCCCAATTTGGAGTAAATGGAAAGTGAAACAATGGGTACCTATTAAAACCAATTGGCAATTGGTCCTCATTGGAACCAATTGGCAATTGGTCCCCATTGGAACCAATTGGCAATTGGTCCCATTGGTTTCAATGGGTACCCATTGTTTCACTTTCCATTTACTCCAAATTGGATTCAATGGGGACATTCAATGGGGATTCAATTGGATTTTCGTCTTGGGAGGGAAGAGAATAAAATGCAGTAAGAGAATTAGGCACGAGAAGAAATACTTCGACAGGTTCAGGAGCACATAGGGACTTACATAAAGGTCTTGAATTTCAGTGTTGCAAGCCAACAAAAATCTATATAGGAATGTTTTTGTTTTCCTTTTGATTGACCAACCAGCCTTCGAGTGAAAATACTGACCGATCATTTGGGGAAGTCCCAAACCTCCTGCTCACATGTCAGACTGTGAAATGAAGTTAACAAGTGAAACGCTGTGAATAGGCCCAAAACGGAAAAATACCATGCGGCAAACTATGCTTAACCTGGTTATGGTCGGTAGGAAAAATGCCATTTTATAGTGTTTATGATGATTAGACTACCTACCTCCAGATCATCTTCATCGCTTATTGACTGGAGAGCCTGGAAGGCATCTGTGTATGACTCTAAACACTTGGCATGAAACAGCATCTCTATCTTTACAAACTCGGACAAGATGCTCTGTTGGGAAAGCAAAGAAGATAAAAGAGGGATTAGAACTGATTTGAATTTATCTTATTCAGCAGATCAAAATGAAAGATCTGTGTATGACTCCAAACACTTGGCATGAAACAGCATCTCTATCTTTACAAACTCGGACAAGATGCTCTGTTGGGAAAGCAAAGAAGATAAAAGAGGGATTAGAAGGGATTTGAATTTATCTTATTCAGCAGATCAAAATGAAAGATCTGTGTATGACTCCAAACACTTGGCATGAAACAGCATCTCTATCTTTACAAACTCGGACAAGATGCTCTGTTGGGAAAGCAAAGAAGATAAAAGAGGGATTAGAAGGGATTGAATTTATCTTATTCAGCAGTTCAAAATGAAAGATCTGTGTATGACTCCAAACACTTGGCATGAAACAGCATCTCTATCTTTACAAACTCGGACAAGATGCTCTGTTGGGAAAGCAAAGAAGAGAAAAGAGGGATTAGAAAGGATTTGATTTCATCTTATTCAGCAGATCAAAATGAAAGATCAATCATGTCCGACGATTACAAACATCCTGTGAACCTATATAGCCATCAAGCAAATGCCAGTCCTTGTACTTTTCTTGAAGGAATTGGCTCTCATTGGTGGTGGTTGTTATTTTACCTGACTGCTAAGAAAGCATAAATGCTTGTAAGTAAGCAACCAGATGGCCGACGGCTTTAGGTCCTCTCCGAGAGATCTGGTAATGATGATTAATGCCTTACTAATGGCACTAGCGCATCAGCTTGGTTTCAAACCCGGGTCACCGGATTATGAGACCACTGCTCTACCAACTGCATGAGCTATCACGCCATTTATGTGAACCTCTACCAACATCATAGATAATAGTAAATGTTTGTGTAACTGTGCTTTACTTCAATACTAAATGAAATTCTATGACAGTTTATAATAATAATAATAATACATTAGATTAATATAGCGCCATTATCCATTATAAAGCAAATCATACAGAGACATGCACTATAATTTTATTCTTCATATTTGAGTGGTTGAATTACATCACATGGATTGACAGTCTAAACCAACACTTCAATTGACCAATCTTACAGACAAATACCATGCAAGTCCTAAATATTTGGTACCTTTCTCTAGCACATATTTCTCTGTCATCACAGAGTGCACAGAAACAATCTGCGGAAATCAGCCTGTCATCATTTAAGAATCGTTTTCATTTTCAGTTATAATTATATTGTTATGATATGGTTCAAGATCCTGACAGTTGTCTACAAGTGCATCCAAAACAAAGCTCCAGTGTATCTCAACTCTCTCATTGTACCAATCTGCTCATCCTGGCATTCGCTCTTGTACTGACAGCAACCTGCTACAGGTTCCTCGAACATACACCAAAGCCGGCGACAATGCTTTCCATGCGTGTGCTCCTTGACTCTGGAATGAGCTTCCTCGTTTTATTCCATTATCACCTTCTCTGGATGTCTTTTGAAAATGTCTAAAAATTTTCCTCTTCGACCATGATCAACAACTTCTTTGATAATTTTTATGTTAAGCGCTGCAAAACAACAGTTAGTTTGTAAGAGCGCTATATAAATGACTTAGTTGTATTGTATTGTATATGGTTCCCTACACTTACTTTTATGTCCTGAAGTCTCTTTCTCTCAAAAGCATCCATTTGGTCTTCCAGAGCCTTATTGCTTCTGGTGGCATCTACGGTGGCTTTCTGAAGCTTGGACTCCGCCTGGGACTATTGGTAAAAGAACATCACAATACCAATATGTTATACTGACATATTAATTAGGGTTAGGGTTCGGGTTGATTGCAGAAACTTTTCAAAAACTTAAGGGACCAAAATCATTTCCTTCCTATACTTTCTTCACATCTAATGAACCAAAAAAATTCCTTCCTCCCATGATCATTGATGCAAACGTAACTAACAAATAATGAAATAAAGAAATTTCAACATCCATCATCTTGACACAAAAGAAATTATCACTCGTGACTGCCTTCATACCATATTACATACATCTGTTAGAATACAAAACATGCACATGTAGCTCAAATATACTCATATACTCCTTTTCATAAGATGCACATAATAGGGGGGAAATCTGAACAGATACAAGATATATGCCAGACACTCTCATGCCAATTCATCCAAATGTAACTTTGGGATAAAAGATAAATTATCTTGTGGTTGAAGAATTGGATGAAGATTTGACAAATCTGATTCAATACTTGCTTCCTGAATTTAGAACAATGATGCTAATATGTATTTAGTCACTGAATAGATGGGTAACTGGTCTTTTGAGGTCATCTTCAGTTAAGCAATTCAGGGTTGGTGATTAAAACAAAAATATGTAATGAAATCTAATTCAGCAGTTTTGATAGAATTGCTCAAAATGGTTCATTCAAATCACTCATCACTGTCATTTTTTCTCCAAATTGTGAGAACTGATTACTAAAACATACTATCTTGTCTGGAAAATCTGGAAAATGAATCTTGAGGTTGCAATTGCAAATCCTACTTTTATGTCCTTTGAATCACATCATAATGCACAATTCTAATAAATGACAAGCCAAAATAACACAACATGCACCAACATCAAACATGCAAATATTTCATTCACTCATTAGAAAGATGTGTTATAACTTATAAATCAAACAGAATGAAACATATTATCTAGTTTTTAGAACATATAAATCGAGTCAGGCTGTACTGTTTTAATGACCTGTGATTTTTGTTGATTAAGAAATGCAAAGTAAACTGAAAGCATTCCATAGATATCATACCTCGCCTTTAACCTTGCGCTGTAGAAACACATAACATATTCAAATTACATCAGACCATTATGCATATCAGTTTGACAACATCTTTTTCTTTTATGTCAACTAATTGTCCACTTGTATAATCTCAAAACCATTTCCTCAGAATACTGTAAGAGGTGTTTTATGAATGGATGTCTAAATGAATTAATGAAAATAGTAGTATAAAAAGTAAAGATCAAACAAATTGCCTCTATTGAAAGCAAAATAGATAAATTGAAACAAAAGTCACCAAAATATATCTCTCAATTGCATTATACACCATTAAAATACTAGGGGAAATTACATATACAAAGTTAAAAAATGTAGGTTCATAACTTGAGGGAGAAATTAAGCTCTAATCTACAAGATAGGGGTTTGAAATTCAAATCATAAGAAAGTTAAAAAGAAATATCTGCATCTATCATATCAAAGGAGAAATTAAGCTCTAATCTACACAATAGGGGTTTGAAATTCAAATCATAATAAAGTTAAAAAGAAATATCTATATATATAAAGTGATGTGGGGTTCAAACAGGTCAAACTTCTATGGAATGGGTTCATAAACTGCAACTCTAGTACATGAAGGGATACTGAATTCAGTAGTATCACAGGAAACTTGAGGGAAGGGTTTGGTAATCATTTCATTAATACCAACCTGTAGTGTTTCTTTTCCGGCTTTTGGGGACAAATGGGGATTACATAGAAACACTGACAGTGTCTGAGTGATGCCAAAGGCAGCACACAGCCAACAAGACCAACAGTCTCACAGCACTTCAGACAACTTTTCTGACGGTTCATGAGACCAACATTGTCGGTCTCGTTGGCTGCCGGTCTACTGGAATGATCTGCCTCCATTCACACTGTCTAGAAAGACACAAGACTGGCAAAAGACCCCCAAATAGATATTACATGTACATCGCCCTTAAAGGCCAAGATTTTTCCAATTATCCATCAGTTCGGAACTGGTTTAATTGGCAATATGACTGTGGTATAATAACAATCACAGACCACAAATCCTGAGTTAAAGAGTGACTTTGTGATGGGGATCCTACTTACTATTTGTTGTCTGTCTGATGGTGCCTTCTGTCTTACTTTGTCCAGTTTCTTCTGCTGGTTGATCTCTTTTTCCCTGGCAGCAAAGCTGCTCTTCAGATCATCCTGAGGGTAACAGAATAAAGGAACACTTGTTTCATACTGATCTCACTCTCCTTAGTTGCTGCAAGATTTTTTTAAAACAACAAAATTATCATAAGAACATATGCATTGATCCATCATTCCCTATCATAGCATTAAACATAAAATATATTACGAGGGCATCCACTAGCTGACCTCTCTTTTCCACTTGTCAAATTTGTTGTAGACTTTACGGTCATCAAAAATATATAGCATTAGGGATAGGGTTACAATTGGGTTTTAGGTCAAGTCTAGGGTCAAGTACATTGTTTGGTCCGGTTAGGAATACAGTCAGTGTATTGAAGGTAATGACTGCAGAGCGATTGTCATCAGATCATGTGTCATCCAGTCCTCTTCCCAAATAAATTGATTAAATATTTTCTTATCATAGTTTTGCTGCTATAGATGTGTCCCACCGTCATCATTTTTAAGCCTTGACTAAAAGAATGTTTGAAAACCTTTTCTTATCTGCCACTACCCTTGTTCTATTTTCATTTCTACTACACTTCAGTAAATGTATACAGATGTCAAAGTGGACTACAAGAGACTTGACATTACTTTGTACAAGTATGTGTCTTATACTGCTTTCAAACTGGCTTCTATCGTAGTCACACTGATGAAAATACCGATCAAATTTTCCTTATGTAAACAAAGGCGCCGTTTTCCCTGCTGTCGCTTTCATACTGCCGGTGAAATTCACTCGCTGTGGCAAGCCCTTGCTGTAAGTGAAGAATTATTACATAATTATTAAGCCCGCGCCACATCTAGCTGACATGCAACATGTTCAACAAAAAGTCAACATACGCACTCTGGTTACGATAAAGCGCGCGTACACTGCAACGCATTCACAGTGGCTGTTTCATCGGTGTCACACTGATAGAATGAGAATTTAATCGCCTATTTCTCTTCTTTTCGTCGTTTTTAATCGGCTTTTTCTCCTCTGTAGCATTCATAGTGGCCGGATGCGTCCGGATGCATCCGATGAAAATCAGGCCAGTTTGAAAGGGGTATAAGCAACAGACTAGTAGGTAGAACCTCTTTATAACAGGAACGACGGAGTAGTTTCCTTCTGGCTATCCTTATTCAGTGGTATTAACTCTAAGTTCATTCCAATGTTTTAATTCTTTGAATATAATTATGAAATAAAAAAAGTAACATACCTTTGCATGTTTACATGCTGTTCCATAAAGGGTCAATGGTTGCACCACTTTAAATTCCAATCTTGATACCTACAAGGAGAATAAAGAAAATGCAGTACTAGAACCAAATCATTTAAAACAATAGCATGACAAATTAGATCAAGGATATTAGCATAATGAAAATCACCTTTTAATATAGACATGATTTGATGTACAACAATTTCTAATTTCATTCACATGATAATGCATTGGTTTACTAAGCAACTGAATCCCACTGATATGTTTTTTAAAAAATACAATTATTAGAAAGAAAACAAAACACACTTATGTTTGCTTCATTAGAACTCGAAATTCAAAATTTCATAGTTACTTTCCATACATTATACTTGACTGATTTGAAATCTTTCATTTTTAGATTTTTTTTTTCTGTGTGAAATGAGGAAATCTACTCTTATATATGCCTGTATAAAAATTTAAAAAAGAATATAAAGTGTTTTTTATGTAAAATATGGAATAAATAAACTTCAAAACTTCAAACTTCACACTCAATCCAATGGAATCGATAATTTTTGGAACAATGTCCTATCTTTTCACCCGATATGAAATGAACTTAGCCACAAAATTTGTTATGCATTTTTTCCATCATAGATGTGTCGGGAGGTTCTCCAAAAATCTAACTAGGAACATGCAAAAAAACAAACTTTCTAATCAAAAGGGAAAATGCAAGCATTAACCTGTGGAAATTACATACGGTAATAACTTGGACTTGGTACATCACTAAAAATACATCTTGACGCTTTACACTATTAAAAAAGAAAGAACTACAGGGTATATATTTCCAAAAAAAAACTGTTGACTTCCTACATACCTGAGCTTGTCTATAATCTTGTATTGATGAGATGTGTTCAGCAAAGTTGGTGAGCCCTGCCTTGGTAGAAGGCGCTTCGGCCTCGGCATAGGTCAAGAGAGATTTGGACAAGAGGTCACCCCTGTCCCTCACACGGGCAAGCTTACGGGAATAGGCAGAAAAATCCTGGCACAGCTCTGCAAAGTGCTTCTCAACAGCATTGATTCGCTGCTGTACAAACTTGGATTGGTTCTCCCTGAATGAATATGAAAATAAAACATATTCAATATCAATGAGGACTGTAGAAATAATTTCAAACTTCATAGGCTAATAAGGGAGAGGGATACATTTTAGTAGAATTATAAGATCACATCACTGTTAGGATCGATGCAATCACTGATGATCAAAATAGACAAACCATGTACCGGTATTAAAATATTAACCATACTTTATTTTTTACTGATAATCACAGCATGGCTGCTAATATCAAGAGCATTTATAGGATGTTCCTAATCCTTTAGTAAAGATGACCTAATTAAAGTTCCTGGTAGCATGCAGTTCCAAGTCATCATTTAAATCAGTATACATTGAAGCGTGTACATACTATACAGAAAGAAGGTTTGTGGGCAGCTATACAGTCTTATTTCCATGAGTTATGGAAATGACAATAAATTGCAAAATTGCCTCTATAAAAACAATTTGTCTTAACAATCAGGGCTGGCCAGAAGATACACACAAAGCAGTCAATGATTTTATGTAGACAGCCTGTCTGGAATCTCTGCAAAATGCAAAAAAAGTGAACAGCGTCAATTTTTTCCCCTTCTCTTTTCTGCTTCCATGTAATTTTGTTGAAGTTCCCGGATGGCTAAGCAATACAAAAACAATATTGGTCGGTCATCCGGGTACTGCGCTAAAGATATTAAATACACTGATTTATTGCACCCCTTGGAAGCCTCATAATATAATAATAGTTAAATACCTACCTTGCCCTTAAATCTGCAGATCTCTGCGTCATTTCTACTACTGAGTCGTCAGCATACAATACAGGAAATTTACTTGGTGCTCTCTTTCTTCCTGGCAGTCAAAGGGTGCTCTGAAAATGAAATAAAACAAACACGTAAAGTTTAAGAAAAAAGGGGCATAGGTCTAGACTATTAATATTATTAAAGAAAAAAGAAGCATAGGTCTAGACTATTAATTATTATTAAAGAAAAAAGGGGCATAGGTCTAGACTATTAATTATTATTAAAGAAAAAAGAAAAATTGACTCCACGCTCATCAATATCAGTCACTTTAGTCTTTACCTTTTGCCTATTAAAATTTTGGTCGAAGTAGACCTAGAGATCTACTTAATAATAATAATAATAATCCGGTTTTTTATATAGTGCTCAATACACCGATCCAACGATGTACCTAAGCGCTAATACAGATATATTATTACTTAAACAAGGAATGGATATAGAATCTAGATCTAGGCCTAATTAAAGATAACTTTATAAACTTAAGTTTGGCTAAATTCAATTTTCATTATGTAGAAAGAGCCAATTTAAAGTCACACATTACTGATCTAGTACTGTATTTGTATCCACTCCAGCAAAGCATAGCGAGTCAATGCTAATGCGTATTGACCACTAGCGCTGCAAACGTGCTAATAGGCAGCAATTGCATACACGAATAGTCAATAAACACACAACACACAAATGCACGCAATGAAGACAATGTGGCTGATCGGCAAGTTTGACAGTAGACTTACAATTTGAATTTTTTAATTATTCTTTTTAACACCGGTAAGTTGAAACAATGGTATTTTACTGCTATTAAGGTGTCATCAATTGTTACTTAAGTACCGATTTTTGGTGAAATCAGTTGAGTTTTGTACAGTGGTGTTTGAAATGTTGAGAATCAATAGCACACCTTTTAATACACAGCCAGGATAGTAATGCAGCTATGTGTGTTTATATACGGATTCGACTTTCAAGTCATGCTGAATTCACTCACTCGCTCACTCGACGCAATCACACGGCGCAATCACACGATTTCATACAACCACATTGAGAGTGAGACAGCTTATAAATCTGATATTTGATCATGAACAAAACATGATGTGCTAATAGGTATGATTTAGGAAAAAATTCAATGAAAGACAAATTAATTCAAATAACTGACATAAATGCATGCGATCGCGATTCCTTACCAGGCAACCGTCAACAAAAATGTTTATTCGGCCATGGAATGTCGTAAATATTTGTTGATAGAGGGCGACAAACTCCCGTCTCCGATATTGAACGTACATGTACTGAGTTCAGTGATGATGATTTGTGATTGATTGATTGATTGATTGATTTTTATTCGCCAAGCTTCCAAGTTCCAACATACAATATACAAGAATAACAGATCAAAATTAAGTCAGCTTGAACAGGATAACCTGTGGGGTCCCCGACTAAAATAGCTTTCCTTTACGGAATTGCGAAATTGTAACAAATTTGCTACTCATTCCTCATAATTTCTTCTTGTTCCCCATTCGATTTTTAGAGTCAAGGTCAAAGTCAAAAGGCACCAATGATATAATTATATAACCTTCGTAATTGTGCCTCAACAGGTCCGGAATCCTGGATCTGGAATCCGCCGGCCCCTGCCTGCAGGGGCGTCGCTAGACCTTTTTCATGCAGTGGGGGGGGGGGGGGGGGGGTGTAGAGGTCACCGATTAGCGACACAACTAGCCACCAATTATCGACAAATATATTAATGCCAATTTCTACAAATTTAACCCTATAAAATCGGGGCCGGGAGCTAAATCATTTTTCAGTCCCCCCTCCCGCGTGGAAGTTTTGATAATTCATTAAATTATTAGAGAAAGAAGACAATTCGTTGTAGGCCTTCTGTTCTCTACTCTAAATTCTTGTCTGAATTCAGTTTTTTTCCCCTCCCAGGCGAAGCGTTTGACGTTAAATAACACATTAGAGAAAGAAAACGATTTGTTGTACTGCTTTCGACTCTTAATCCTTGTCTGAATTCAGTTTCCCCCCTCCTGCGCGAAGATCTGAAGCTTTGACGTTCCATTGCATTTTTAAAGAAAGGAGACGATTCGTTGTACAGTTTTCTACTCTTAATCCTTGTCTGCCGAGCGAAGCGCGGAAGCTTTGACGTTTCATTAAATTATTAGAGGACAAAGATTATGTTATGCAGGGCCCGCTGGAAGAACAGTTTCATAACTGAAGTGGCCACCCTGGGTAAATAAACGTTATTATTATTATAGTACTGTTTTCGATTCTTAATCATTGTCTGAATTTTCAAAAATGTTGTCCGGTAAAAGTCACAGTTTGTAGGGGAAATTAGCCGGCCGGCTGACCGACATAATACATCTCACCGACTTCAAACTTCTGCATTGATATGGTACACGAGGATCGAGCAAGAATATAGACCGACACAGCGGACCGACACAGCAACGCAATTCTTTCTTGCTCCCTCGACGTAGCGATTCCATCCAACATCTCCCTCTCCAAGTTACTCCCACCCCGCCGGTCCTCTCGGCTCTAATTACCCCTCCCCCCTCTATCTCCTTTCTTTCATCCTCCGTTTCTTTTGTTTCTTTTTTCTTTTTTCCCCCTTTTCTCCTTTTCTTTCTATTCTTTCTTGTCCTTTCTTTCCTCTCCTTCCTCTTTTTCTTTTTTTTTCTCTTTTTTTCTTCTCTTCTCTTTTCTTTCTTTCCTTTCTTTTCCTTTTCCTTTTCTTTTTTTCTTTTCTTTCCCTAATTTCCCTCTCATTTCCCCCTCCTTTTCTCATTTTCCCGACAGCAGCGCAGTTTTACCGACAGTCCGACAATTATATCCTGACAGGTGGGGGGGGGGGGGCGGGGTGTCGCACCCCCACACCCTTCCCTCTAGCGACGCTCCTGCATAAGAGATAAAAAGGAAGTATCATCAATGAAATAGTATATATCTAATTGGATGAAGGATGGTGATTGTGCTTAATCGGCCTATTCCTAATGGATTCATGCACGATCGGACATATTTTCTTTTTTCATCGAAATGTTCAAAAATAATTGGTGTTAAACCAAAGTAAATTATATGATTTAAAAACCAAAAGGCAAAAATGTGACAGAAAAAAGACGAAGATACATGATCATTCGAATTTGTGGGTCTGATGAGCTTCGATGTTACTATACCGCTGATATGGCTGTCTCCCAGACCTTTCATTTTTCCTACCAGGTGTAACTGAGATAGAGAGAGAGAGAGAGAGAGAGAGAGAGAGAGAGAGAGAGAGAGAGAGAGAGAGGAAGAGAGAGAGAGAGAGAGAGAGGAGAGATTATAGGGTTCTTATGAGCGAAATTCATCATTGTTACCCTCGCATGTCATTCCAAGAAAATAGATTACACAATGCAGATGTATCATCCGTGTCGATTTAAAACATTAATTAGTGATCATCCCGGATATTATCAACGAACCATTAAAATTGCACAAATTGAATTGATCTCGTGATTAATTGATACAACACAATTATGCTATCTACACGTTTATGAGACCCCAGCAAAAAAAAACTAATGAATGATGCCTTATCCGTTATTCAAACTAAACAAAATGATAAATCAATAATGAATAGATAGTGAAAACAAACCTCACCAGCATTCTTTCAAGTAATTTTTAAAATTCAAATATACCGTTGACTAGCAGCTAAAAGCTGCAGCTATACCAAAAACTGAATGCCAATAATTTTTAAAAATATTGGGAAATGATACGAATTGAAAAAATATCCTGACTTATCAAGATTAACGTAAAGGAAAAATTTATAAGTGATATCATATAAAAATAAACAGAACATAATATGTAAAAAACTTGTAAAAAATGCCCAACTATGATGTCACAGCTTGCCATTTCTGTCCCTCTCTTCAGTACCTATTTGCGCTGTTCGCTGAGGGTGTGTGTGTGTGGGGGGGGGGGCGGGGGGGGGGGGGGCGTAGAGTTGTTATGATTGAAGTTGTCAATGTATTGCTTGTCAGTGCTTGAAACCAAGTACGGAAAGTAAAGTTCAATAACATTGATAATTTTCTGTGAGAAAATTCACAATCTCCCCCCTCGTTAGAATGTTTCAAAATCCAATTGTCAAGTCGTTTGTTTAAAGTTTGAAGTTTGAAGCTTATTATCCAAACAAAAAGTACACCCGCGACCAATCAAATGTGAGTGTTTAAATTGAAAGGATAAATGGGACCAGAAAATAGCATTAAATGCTAATCGTTTCTGGTACAACTAACACACAAAAGTAACACAACTATGCTCTATGCATGAGAATGTAATGAATAAATATTGATAACTATTGAATACATTAAACCTGGCAGGAATTGATTCCTTGAAATGCTAGAGCGCTGTAAAATCACAGCAGCTGGGCTATTAAGCCGGGGTAATCATTTTGTGCGCCTTGGAATAGAATTATCTAGATAGACGGCGCTATACTAAAATGCCTATTATTATTATTATCATTATTATTATTATTATTATCGTCATTATTATTACAAGCTACGAGATATTCTACATCTACGCTAAAATATGTTCTGTGATGAAATACAAATCTTTGGTATTTTATACTAAATAAAAAGATAAAGAAATGTATGTAACTTAATGTTTACAAAAAGGCAAGAACCTCGGTTCAAAGTTCAACACAATTATTCTATTAACATTTGTGATATTAGAGCATTCTCCAGTACATATTTAATGGGCATTTTATGTACAGATCTCATTTAAAACTTTTCTTATGCCGGATCCGCCCTCATGCCATGTATGATGCTCATAACTATGGCGCTCAAATGTTATCACCCCTTAGCAGAGCTGATTAGGCCCTACACATGTGCCATTATCTGGCCCCTTTTACCAACCAATAGTTTATCTTCTTGTATAATTATGTAAACACATTGTATGAAATGTCTTACTGTATTGCTGTTGGTAAATAAATCAAATCAAATATATTTAAAAAGGTAAATCCATCATAAAATTATAGCCCTATCTCGAGTAATTCATAATCCTGCAATGAGACTAGGAAAGTAGGCTAGGCTTGTGCCATGACTCCAGCTTTAACAGAGTTTACTGTTTTTACTGTTTTTGTAGGTTTAGTGATCACAGTTTATAAACATTAAAAATGTTGTATAATATTATTCAAATTCAATACCGGGTAACTTCATTTTTGCGGGGATTCACCTATCATGACATCATTCTATCCCTCTCGGGGACTTCCCGATCTTTTCCAAATATGTGAATTAAGTTTAAAATGAATACATATATTCCTTCTTAATACATGTTTTTAAATTATTATTCCAACTTAAATTGAGTGATTTTAATTTCATATGGGCAACGAATTAAAACGATAAATCCTTCTCATAATTTTAAGAACAAATGATTATTTATTTGTAGATTGGCAACATTCAATTTTTCGGGGATTTCCAAATGTCTACGTCATGTCTATTGATTTGTTCGGGTATTTTTAAGCAACCATCAGGCGATGGTGAGTACATTTGATATTTAAACATTGTAGAAGAAAGAGAAACATATAATGCAAAGGCATATATCAAATTTTCTACAAAATTGTGGAAATTACGACTTTAAATTCAATAAGCAAAAATTTCACATGAACAACACATCGAAATAAACAAATGGGACTGTACACAAAAAATGTTCAGAAAATCAATTATCTAGAGACTAGACAAGTACGAATCTGCATTCTGGTTGATAATAATATATCTCTAATTGATGGTTTAATAAAAGTATTATATCTCATGTTACTTTGTTTTTCATTGTATTCATCTAATTTCTTATTTGTGAGCCAGGCTGTAATGTAATTTAATTTTGTACAAACAGTCTTGCCTTTGCCTTGGCACTAGGCCCTAGGCTAGTAAGTTTCTACGTCTACGTCTATGCTGGTACTCGTCAAAAGCCTTTTCAGCAACTAAGCGAGGATATTGTGGTGTGGTGTCTCTCATAGTGGTCATGATTGATTAGTGCATAGTGCGTATATACAAGTTGTGCGAGTAAAAACAGTTCCTCCTATGATTTAGGCACTGCATGGCTAAGTTACTGCTAAGTAAGTGTTCATCTAGTGTAGACAGTATGAGTAGATCTATGAATAATATGATTGAAGGGGTGACCAAATTTGCAGATGATATTAGAAAATGTGATATTCGATCTTTAATTTCTCATATTCTACACAAATTTTTCTATTTCAATTATTACCAAATGGACGTTTTTTACTACAAATTGGTTCAACTAGAAAATTTATGGTCATAGGATTTCAGAGATATCGCGATCTAAAGAATCGTGTCGGATCGGTGTGCACTGCAAATCTGCAACTAAAAAAGTCATAATAACAGCGAGACCTTACTTCGCGCATGGTGGTTTTACAGCTGATTTATCAAAAAATGTGATCTAGTCTATCAAAAATAAAATAATGCAAGGCAATTATAACTATAAGATTTTTTTTTCAATTACACTTTTGAGGATATCTGCTTTAAAATATGAAGATTTCCAGACCTTTATCTGTAAGTTAATAATTTTTCGGAACGGACGCAAATTCAAATGGCTGCAAAATTTGCTGATCTTTTGTCAATATTTTCAAAATATCGCACACAATTCCAAAGAATTTTTCTCTGGGTAATTTTATGTTCCTCTTTCCATTGGTGATATAAGATTTTTGAAATCTTACAGATTTTTTGAGATAGCGAACTTAGGTCACGCGCAAACTATGGTCATACCGCAATACTGCTACTAGTAGTAGCCTACCCTTACTTAATTTGAAATGATGCCTTTTCAAACAGTGCAGACTGCAGTGTAGGCCTAGACTGTAGTCTGTTCGAAAAGCGTCAAGATAAATATTCTCCTTCCTTCACGAAAGAATGCTGTGGTTTAGAAAATCTTTTCAGGACTACAAACAGTATGAGAACAATATTCTGCATTTTTCCACTCTTCAACTTTGAGTTTTATCACGTCATAACCTTCTCAATCTCGAACATTCCTTCTTCCTCCTTCCTTTCCAGTTTCCTTCCTTGATTCCTTCCTCCTAAAACTACAAGTACAACCGTTACCACCAGTTTTAATTCCATTTGTGACAAGTATGTGGAGGTACATGTACCAGGCTCTGGTGGTTAATTTTTGTGTGATTTTCTCTGTCTACTGCTGGGATGATTTCTAAAAATTGTTTAAAATAAAAACAGAAATCATTAGCTTTACATCTAATTAAGGATTGAGAGTTAATATTTCAATCTTTACAACCAATGGCAAGTGGATATAATACATTTCCTATTATTTTGTTTGAGACTAGGCATTAATGATAGTGTTCTGGGGTCCTTTTCTTGATTGTCATAAGTCTAACTTCTCTAAATCAGCGTTAATAAGCTACTTGTCCGCTACGTATTTCACGAAGCCCTCCTTGTTTTAAACTTAATGTTTGGAATGTTAAAGTTTTGTCATTTTAATATGTTGTTGAAGCCTAAAACATTGGACAAAACTGTGTAGCATCGTGTTTTTACTAAGAATAATGTATGGGTGTATTTTTTAGTTCTATCAAATGAAAATATCCTAAATTTTTTTTTTTTTAATCCGATGGAATTGCTACTAAGGCTTTGTCTTGCCTTCTCTTTTTGCTAATAGTATCGATTTCTTGAGATGTCTAGCTAGTAAGCTCTTTGTGAAACGGTTTAGGAAGATCGGAGATATCTTCGTAGTTGGCGGATATTAAAGTTATGACTGTCTTGGCGTTGGTTTCAAGAAACAGGCTCTTGAATCCAATGTATTGTTAAAGATTATGTACATTTTTTCAATTGTAAGCAATTTTGTGCAGAAAAAAACTCCTAATTTAGCCATACATAAGACTGGAGCTATGTATTTCAAAATGAATTAGAATTACATTCATGTAGGTCTCATGCATACAGTTTGCAACAACTTCAATTGGGATCCCCTTAAAAAAAGGTTAGTATGAAGCCCTGCATATGTTAATATTCTCTTGCAAAATGAACAAGAATCAGTCAAAAATAATCAGAATTAAAGTACAGGGTTTTTTTAACTAAATTTTATTACAGAGATCACTTTAAAATCTAAAGTGTTTAGGAAAAAGTGTTGTGGAGCGTGATACTGAAGAAGTTGTATATTGTATGGTCTAGCTATTTACCAAGTTGAATGCACTCTCCTTGCGTATTGATTATTATAAGAACAGAAGCGTTAACTTCTTTTGCTAACTTGTCACAGTGGAACAATATCGGTCTTGCAAACCATCTAAAGAGTTATCAGAGGGTTTACAAAACTGATAGCTTACCAGGCCCCCAGCCATGAGACAGACTTGCAGGCCTTCTAACAAGTTTTCTTAGGGTTCACCAGACTGACATTGTCTGTCTTGTGGGCCATTGACCTCGTGAGCTGTTGGTCTACTGGGATATCCTAGTCACAGTTCTAGGCATTATCCAAGATCCTAACTCTGACTGAATATAGGTTTGATTATAATTTGCCCTGACATGTTTGAACAATTGCCTTTCTTTCTCTTTAGGCAGGAGTGGAAGTATAGAGGACTATTTCAAAGAACAAGTCAGAGAAGCGAGATCAGAATCCTGTTGCGTCCTTATTCCATCCTTATTCCAACCCATAAGCTGGCAGCACCATAGAAATTGTATGTGAGATGGTATTTTGGCATTATGGCTAGCTCTTCTATACAAGACAGGAAATGTGAATATTACATACTCAAACACAACATTGAGGTGCAGCATGAAACGTACCCTTTAAAAACAATTCTAAATAATAGTCAACCTGAATGTTTAAGATTTCTCAAAGGAACACTCCTTTGTTTGTCACCATCGTCACCATCAAAGCCAGCATACTCCGGGGGTTCCCAGAAAATTCCTGTCCGTTCATTGGATGATGAAAATCTAGAATTTGTCTGTCCCGTCGCTGACCTTTCTCCACTGCAGTCAGTTGAGAAGGATTTACTCATTGCTGTAACATCCAGGGTAGAGAGATATAAATTGTATGCATGTCGCAATGAAGTCCTGGCTTTTGGTTTGAGCTGCCATTTAAACGATTGGGTTCACGTCGAAGTGAAAATAGAGAGAAACTTGACAGATGTTGCTGGCGTTATCAAGTACAGAGGAGTGCTCCCTACTGAGCGAGGGATCCATTTTGGAGTTGAACTAGAGGTAAACTATTCCATCAAAACACATTTTTGGTTAAGTTTACATACCCTTGGAAGCATTTCGTTCACAGTGTCTACTCAGAATCAATGAATATACTAAACAAGTAACAATATTTTGTACTATTTAAAGCTTTTCATCCTTATCCTTGTATTCTAATCAAAGTAAATGGTTTTGACCACAAAATAACATCATGCAGAAGTTGTGTTAGTGCTATTTCAGAGTAAACAGTAAACACTTCATGTTATGAGAATTGTTTGCCAAAAATTTGCAAAAAAGGAAGATAATGAATCTGAAGAATTCATACAAGTACAGTAGAAAGAAGAATCTCTCTTGTGTTCGGGCACGTTGCTAAATGATCTTCCAAAGTCACATGTAAGAAAGCCATTAGTGAGCTTTGAACTTAATTTCTCTCCTTGTGTCTCTTTCTCAGGAATACAGAGGAGCAGGCACCACTGATGGAACATTCAGGAACCATATGTTTTTCGCCTGCCAGCAAGACTGTGGTGTGTTTGTCCCCATCACTAGAATCAAGAAACGTTACCGAAACTACAACATAACCAAGAGACATTACAGAAGGATATCGGATGTAGTAGAAGTTGACTCTGCTCTGGGTCTCGGTGACATCTATGTTCATCAGAGGGTTCAGGTGTTCACAGATGAAGGAGAGAAGGAGGGGCGTGTTTTGTACTGTGGATTACCCCCTGGTGCCAAGACAGAATTTGTGGGAATTGAATTTGTAAGAAGAAGAAGAAGAATGCACCACTTTACTTCCATCATTTTTGTTTTGTTGTTTTATTAGTTTGTTTGTTTGTTTGTTTGTTTTTTGTTGTTTTTGTTCTCTGCTTCTTTTCTTCCTTAAAAGAAAACTCTCAGAGCTGAGTCAGAGGTCATTTTGGAGACAAATTTGAAATGTAGTATTATTCTTCACAGGAAGGTTTAAGTGATGAGACTTTTAATTACCCAGTCAAAGAGCAGAGGTCAAAGTGCAAAGGTCGCTGATTTTTATTATGAAAAGAATTGTTAATGCCATTACCATTTAAGTCTTAGTCCATACAATTTTGATATCTTGGTACCTGAGTGAAGTATCATTAAGAAGTGACCTGATCACAAAATTATGTCTTTAGGTCAAAGGTCACAGACCAGAATTTATCAAGGCTATCGGGTTTCAATAAGGAAACTGATATGAGGGGGGAAAAAAAGAGGTGTAGTTTACAGAGATAATTAATCCTTCATATACAGATGGTTGCTACAGTGTATTTACCTGCTTCATTGCAATGCTGAAAATATGTTGTCAGAAATTTACATGTTTAAGCTTTTGTGGTTCTTCATTATCCAGGATCATCCTGTTAAACCGTCTGACAGGAATGATGGAACATATGAAGGCCGGAAACTCTTTCATCCTAGCAACCTTGAGCGGACAATCCTATGTCCCAAAGCATCTGTCTTGCCACTTGCAATTCCAGACCAGCCAGGGATTCTAGATCAGCATTTAATAGGTGGGGAATTTTATTTTTCACATAAAGATAAAGACCAGTTATGGTCATGCGATTGCATTGTGAAAGAAACGTTGTGGAATTGACTCAGGAAAGGTTGATCATCTAGCATATAAGTATTGGTGTGTACTGCAAGGTTCTAGCTCTAATCAACAAAATGATTTTTGGCCCAGTCTTGGTAAAGTTACAAGCACTGTACACAGAAAGATGTAAAAGGGACTACGCGACACGTGCACGACACGTCCGTGATATCTATCAGGTCCAAATAGATATAATAATTTACCAAATATATCAATTAGTAGGCGGTTTCCGGGCAAAATTTGTATCATTACGTATTAGTCAAAACATATTCTTTCACATGATCGATAATAAGAGCTTCCATTTCATTTTTTGAGAGGGGGCGTTTCCAAAACTGGTCTTTACCTTTAATAAACTTGCGGCCCATTGCTTTACATAATCTTATTTGTGTACCAGCACAAATTTCTGTTAAAGGTATTACAAAGTTTTGGGAAATTTTGAAAAATGGGTGGAGAGTGATTCTTTACAATTTTGATATATTTGGATGCCCCTGTGGATGTATTAAAAGCACTATAAATTTTAGCCCCTAAAACACTTCTGCTTTCGAGAAACATTGAATATAAAGATTTACCGGTGCTCCCGGTAAATTTTGATGAATTTTAAATAGCTCCTACGGCCATACGATGGTAACTGCGACCATGAAAATCTCAGAATATGTAGTTGTGGTATATAATTTCCGAACGGGAATAGCTAATCGGTCGATTTTAGTCAAGAAACATTGTTTTACAGCTTAATTAATATTTTGACCTAATTGAGAGGGAGCTATACAACATAAAGTGTTTATTATTTACAATTTCATAACTTTAGAGTCGATTTCGACCGCGACAACGATCAGTGAATATTGTATGATCGCAGTTGCTTCCAATATGTTTATTTGAACCAAATTCATGACCCCATACCAAAACTTTGTATTACCTTTAACTTTAAAATTTTCACATGACTAGTAATTAAAATTAGATTATCTCTCTTTATAGAATAGACTACATGTACTTTATATAAATGTTGTACATTTTCAGATGAGGAAGGAAATTCAGTGTTTTTATTAACACATTCTCTACTTGTTTGAGCTTGTCAGAAATAGATGCTATTTTTGAAGGTGACAGAACATTGTCTCTGGTAACTGATTGAGTTACTTCATTCATATCTATGTTATAATTATTTTCACTCCTAAGAACCGATGGTGACCTCAGAGGACCCTTTCAATTTCACTGTTGGGAGTCAAGTCTTTATTGACACAGAACATGACGGAATCAAATATGGTCATGTGATATGGCATGGGAAACCAGATCTTTACACAGAGGAGCATGTTGGTATAGAATTGGTGAGGACAGACCTTTTATGTTATTCTATTTCCAGTAAGATTTATTATTGCCATTGAAGAATAGCAAAACTAAAGTCTAACTTTTATTTGAATGGCTAAATTAAATAAAGATTTTAAAACCGCATTAAGTGTTAAGTAAACCGGAAGAAAATTTAGAAAAATCCATGAAATAAATATTTGTTTTGTGTCTGTAAATATGAAGTAAAGATTTGTAAATATGAATTATGGTAAATAAGTCTTTTGCTCCTAAAATGAGTAAAAGTCAATTTTAAGTCCATTTTTACATTTTAAAAATTAAAAAATTAGTACTTTGTATCTTTGTTTGAGCAATTTTTTAAAATAAAATAAAAGAATGGTATTTTTTGTCGTGTATTTTTTGCTAGGAATATCCATGTTCCAGGCAAATTGACTGCAATGATGGTTTTTACAAGGGTGAAAGACTCTTTTTTCCAAACAAAGTTGAGAGAACTGTCTTGGTTCCAGCCAACAGCTGTCAGAGTACCTGTCAAAGAAGTCTGTCATCAGGTAAGGTACAATACAGTTAAACCTGTCTAGAAAGGCCACCCAAGGGAAATGTAAAAAGTGGCCACTGTAGACAGGTGGCCTTTCTAGACAGGTACTACAACACTCATGTCTATCCCTTGAGGGAGACCAACTGCATGACCACTGTAGACAAGTGGCCTTTATCGATTTCCCATGGCAAAAACCTACTCGTCGGTCCGCAAACATTTCATGCACATAAAAGTTTCTGGTTTTAGATTAAATATCATGTTAAAATATTCCTTGCAAATTTGAAAGTATCAGTGTCCACTAGTGCACTATAAATGCTACTGGTATTGTTCTATGAAATTTGAACTTCATGCAGAAACTGTCCGGGATTCCCTAGGTGCAGAAGATACTGCCTTAGCCGCTCCCATGGGTGACTTTGGCAAGATACAAGACCCCATCTCACGCCGAAGACATCGCAGTGAGTCGTCTTCGGAGGATGTAGGTGCAGACTTTGAACGTCTCGTGTGGACCGATGTTAGTGATGCCATCGAGTCGACTTCACCGGGAAAAACACACTCCGCACCTGTCAATGACAAATGTAATGAAAGAAAATCCCTTAATATTTAAAATAAATTCCATTGTGGATGTATATACTTTTATGTATATATATTATCCATATCATTCTTTAAAAGTACTAGTATTGTATTACAGAATTGAGAAGTTTTAGATGCAATAGCAAACACCAGGTTGCATTATTTTGATGAAAATACATTTCCAAATGTTATTGTGATTACATTATTTTTACCAGAATGCCAAGAAAGTACATGCGGTTTATACAGCAAAGCAAACAAGGGATTATGGCTTTCAATCCTATCTGAGGGATTTGCTAATTGAGGATTGTTGTCCTAGCAGAAGGGAAACACATTGTATTGTCATCAATTCATACATTTGTATGATGGAATCTACTATTGTAATAAAACGTTAATTGTTCTTCAAACATCTGAAAATTTAAAAGATCAGAGGTAGTGTCACTATGAATTCAGCTAGTAGTCCAAGAATATAGAGATGAACCAGCTGAATATTACATTGATGTGGTCATTGTGAAATAACATTAACATAAAATGATTTATAAGCCACATGAAATCAAGTACTTGTGCAAGAGATGAAATCATTTTAAAGCAATTGTATATTACCTTCTAGTTCATTGATCCAGAACTGTCGTTAAATTTTCTTGATAATACAGATCAAGTGCATGGTAGAGCTATTGACCCCAGAGAGGTACGAGTAAAGGCACATGTGAAATCTTCATCCACTGGGTACGTGCCCACCCATGCTAAGTATGGACAGACATCATATATCGGGGCCGCAAACAGAGGGACAACTCGTCCCAAAGACAATACCTCCAAAACGCATGCTTTGGCAACGGGCAAGCATGAAACTAAAAGTTGGACCACTAAAAAGTTTCCCAAATCTCACACGGAGATTCGCTCAAGGAAGAAAGAAACAGAAGACAGGCCTTCTGCAGACATTGCAAACACTAAAGGTCACAGAACGATAGGACAGGATCACGGCAGGGTTGTCAGTAAATGTGAGTTGGATGTTAACAGATTTATGTGTTTTATTTGTACTCATATTTAGATCTTAGCATATCAATATACATTTTATATGATTAGATCTTTTCCCAATACTTCAGTGCTGTTCATTTTGTGAGAGATATGAATGTGGTTTGTATCAGTTAGATTTCTTTCCACATGTTATGAAATGTGACATATTTTTCTTTCTCTTTCCATACAGTCATAAATGCATATAAAAAATGTGCACTGTATATTAATCAGTGTTAAGTTTATATTTGATTAACAAGTGATAATAATTTCACTGGCCTGTTTCTCTCATTTTTCTGCTTCTATTAAAACCAACTTGATATCAGGGTGGACTTCCCCTTTAAACAAAATCCTTGTCAAGAAAAGAATAAAATCAAATTGACTGATCAAATCCATTCCCATTTAAAATAAAAAATCATACCATGCAGTCACTCTCTTGGATGATGTCCTGAACAATGTGGCGATACGTCTCTGTGGAAACTGGAAGACTTTGGCCGAGAACTTGGGTATCATGAACAAGGAAATTACCCAGATTGTAGACCTTAACATGTCGTCCAAGGACTGTGCTATGGACATGCTGCGTAGATGGCGTGAACAGATGTCAAGCTCTAGGGATAAACTGGGACCGCTGATCAAGGCATGCCACAAAAGTGAATTTCATTCTTTGGCAAATGAACTAGAACAAGGTGAGTTGAAGGATTATGGAAGACTTAAATTGAAGGGGAGAAAGAATGTTTGAGATAGAGAGATAGAAAGAGAGAGAGAGAGAGAGAGAGAGGTAGAGCAAGAGAGAGGGAGCAAGAGAGATTCAAGAAAACAGATGAGAGGGTGAGATAATGAAAATAAAATGAAAAGAAGTGTGAAAAAGAGAAGGAATATAATAACAATAATGATAACATTGGTAGCTTATTCCTAAATACCTCACTGTTCTTGGCTGCATGCTTATGACATGATTTACACCTACACACAAGTGTGCACTGTCTCCACTCTTTGGAGAGCTTTGGTGTTATTTTCTTGGTGATCTTATTGTCGATATTTCACTCATTTTGTGATATACATCATTTATAATTTACACATTTAGGCATAAATAGTCAATTTTTACTGAATTGCCTTAAAACCCAATCAAACAACAACATTCCTTAGTCTGAAGAACATGAAAGAACATTTGTTGTTACCTGTAGATAGTATCATAGTAATTAGTAGGCTGTTAAATGTAGAAACAATAATGACATGAAGACCGAGTGTGTAACCTTATCTTACAGGACTTGATGAGCAAAGACTGCATCATATCGCAGGTCAGGTCCACGAGACTGTCTGGAATGTACTTGGAGAAAACCTCGGTCTGGAGCGGGACCATCTATCCCGGCTCCAGATGGAGGACCCCCATCCAAGCCAGAGGGTCTATATCATGCTCCTAGACTGGAGACTTATGCTGACCTTTGATTCCGACAAGCCTCTCCTGCTAGCCAAAGCGCTTGGTACCATAGGCATGGAAGCATTAGCATTGGAAGTTTGTAGGGGTGTGTTGAAATCCAATATTATAATTATAAAATAGTAGTGGTCCTAATTTAGTCCCTTGTCGCACGTCTTGTACAGTGCCTCAATCAGTAGTGTCTCTGTTAATTTCACCCTTTTGTTGTCTTTGACAGAGGAAGACCTAATAGCTACCTTTTTTACATTTTTTTTGTAGAATCATGGACTTTGTGGTGTTATTTGGAAATTTCAAAGCTATTATTACACCTTTACAAACCATTGTCATTTTGATACTCTTTAACTGTGCCAATACAAGTGATATATTATAAGAATTGACTTAAATTTCAGATTCAATATATGTGGAAAGGCATGCCTGAAGGATATTGGGAATTCCTTTCCAATATATTTGGCTATGAGTAGACAATTCCTTGTAGCATTTCTAGTATAAGTATATGGCAGAGAGAAGAAAATATTGAATACAGAGAACTAATTAGTGTATAAATGTTTGAAAGTGCATAACAAAAATTCTACATTCAATGAATTTTGGTTATCGATCATTTCAAAATTGCAGGTCTAACGGGCAAACTACTAGAAGACCTAGCTGGAAGTGTGAAAGATTTCTGGAAGCGTCTTGGCAAGGAGCTCCACTTGACTACCAGGGAGCTGCAGGATCTGCAGGATCTGCAGGATCTGCGCAATGGAGATGACATCTTTACAGCATATCAAGTCCTCTTAAGGTGGAAGAGGCGTCAGGAACCAGAGGGAGACCTCCTGGGTGCATTGTCTGCTGCCCTCAAGAAATGTGGAAGGGACAGCCTGGCTGACAAGGTTGTTAAAGGTGAGTGGTGCCGTCCGTCCATCTGTCTCTCCTGCTGTCTTGTTATTGTGATATCTCATACAACTATTTTAACATGTTTCACATCCTTGATACCATCATTGGTCAAAGGTCACACAAAATCAGTTTACATGAAAGTCATGGAACCCCAACGTCATATCTCAAGATAACATATTAGCTAATTTACTTCACAAATGTTGCTATTAGGATTATTGAATGGTTCGTTTTGTACTCATTTGGTTAAAGACTACAGAGGTAAAGATATGTGAAAATTGTATGGCAATGCCTCTCTCTCAGCACAATATTTTCAACAACCATTTGAGGCATGAACTTTGTTCATGGCACCAGAGTGCATCACCCTGTAGGAGAATAAAATTTGAGACAATTAGGTCTTAGTTGAAAGGTAACAAATGCCAATTTGCCAATACATAGCTATATGTTTTTATATCTATTTCGTAACAACAATTAACGTCAGTATCATATTTTATTCTCTGTTTGAGCTCATATTAAATCATGGTTGCATATATGTAGGCAGGGACAAAATGTAATGTATTGTTTAGTGAGAAAAAACAAAGGCATGTAAGAAACAGGGTCTCACACAGCTAACATTTCTTGTATGTTTTGAATATTGAATGAACACCTATTCACCCTCCCTACAGGTATGGATGACACTCTCCTAGAAGTGATAGCCAACATGGTGGAAGAAAAGCAGCACAGCATAGCCAACGCTCTGGGTATCCCCTTGCAGGAGCAGTTTGGCCATAACGACAGCCGCCACAGCTCCAAGCCCAACACCCTTAGGTTACTCCAGTGGTGGCGCGCTAACAGGGTTATGAATGAAGAGGAAGGGCAGAGGAAACTCTTTGATGTTCTCATGAAGTATGAGTACAATGATGCCGCCGACATGGTGCTACCGGTGTCCTTGAGGCCAGAGGGTCTGCCAGAAAGGAATCCTAGGTTGCCTAGGGTACCCCCTCCAAGAGGTATGTTACTAATCTGAAAAACTACACAAATGGGAGATATATCATTAGATTGATAGATGGTTGGATCAATGGATTGAAGAAGTGAAGGAAGAAGAACAATTTGCAAAAAAAAACACACAAAGTAGGTAATTATGCTGTCATCCATCAGTAGATTTTGTGATCTGCAATTGTCATCAGGTTTGAATTTTAAATGATGCAACAAATGACTAAATTCAATATCATATCTTATTTTTGTAATGAATTTTGTACTGAACTCTGCACCTTTGAAAGATTTCAAACAGATATATGGCACCATATCTAAATGCTGTATAACATCATCGTCATCATTATAATTAACTCTTGAGAGCATCTAGTCCAAGAGAATGATATCCTTTTTATGCCTCTCCAACTAATTATGTAGCCGTACGTATGTCCGTCTGTACGTCCCGTTCTCGTGATCGCGTTATCTCAAGAACCGATTGATGGATTCCTGCCAAACTTGGGTCATGTATGTATCTTGTAGAGCCAATGAACTGATAAGATTTTGGTGTCACAAGGTCAAAGGTCACAGGGCGCATGTGTGCAAAAATAACTTGTGATCACATTATCATTAGAACCGATGGACGGATTATCATCAAACTCAGGACATTGCACGGTCAAAGATCCATCTAGTTAATGATCATTAAATTCTCTTCTTTTTTCCCCTATTTTAAAAACAGATCTTGACAATGCCTCTGTCCTTGGAACTATTGCAAAAATGCAGTGTTCAGCGGTAGAACTTGCAGATAGACTGGAAGTACCAGATAGTGATTATCTCAAAATCCAGAAACAATGGCATGATGTCAACAAACAGAAGTTCCTTTTCTTGAGGAATTGGATCAACAGAAATGAATTGATGTATGTTGGAAATAATCTTGGGTGGCAACTGTGTAAAATATTGCTGAAAATGGAAATGGATCAACTTGCGGATTTCCTTGTTAATGGTGAGTCTTTTTTTTTCTTCATTTCTTTTCCCTTTCCCGGAGGATATTTCTGTTTCTAATCATATAATAATGATGAATGTTTGTAATTAAGTGCTTTACCAGTTACAACGTAACTGACCAGAGTGCTTTCAATATACAATGTGCTTTTATGTCACTTAAAGTGGAAATTCAAAGAAAATCACAAATATGTCAACTAATGTATCACTAGAAACTGGTAAGCTAACAGATGGCCATCGTACATGTTTTAGGTCAACTACATATCAGGTGATTTTTAACAATACAAATACAACCACCTCCATAGCAGCTGGGATATACGAGAGAATCACCAGAAAAATAACGATGTTTTAATGAAGTCACATAATGGACCAATACTGCCCAAGCAGACGACATCCCATTAAGAATGAACATAATTGCTAAGCTATTATTTCTCAAATTATAATGAGTTTAGTGTATATAAATGTGATGGCATTTCAAACCATTCAAAAGGGGATATGAAACCGATTCTGATAACTAAAATCTCTTGTTTCTAAATACACAGGATAGGGGTCAATTAGCAATCAAAGAAACCAGACTTTCAAATTGAAAAAAACCTGGAATGACATTAAGGATGGCATTTGTTCCCTCTTGAAACGCTGAACATACCGCGGTGTGTGCAGCTGAATATACAATGGCGTCTTATTTTGTTTACAAGCGACAGATTCCTTTATTTTTGTATCGCTGCATTTGTCATCAAAATAAAAACATATGCGGGTTTAGAGTGAGGCAGTAGATTATACATTTAGCCTGACCGTAGTGCAGTAAGAGAAAGAACTCAAGAGAAGATGAAAAAACAGGCACTGAAAATGTGTGAGATGTCATGGGACATCGTCTGCTTGTGCAAATTATGTCCATCCTGTGATCTCACACATCTCAGCAGCGTTCGGAGGGCTCTTCAGGTGCTATGCCGGGCTGTATTTAAGCGTTTTGTAATTAATAATAATCATAACTTCGAATGTTTCCAAGCATTGAATTTTGATAACCTTGTCGAATTAAAGTTTCAAATTTGCAATACCCGGTAATGAAAATAAAGTTAGTTTTTAAAATCAATGAATATCTACTTTAAGTATTAATATCCGAATAAATTTTACACATTTGTCTAAATGATATCTTTTAGTATCTTTTGATTAGTCTCAACTTATTTGATTTCTTGACTTATGATTGTTAAAAATGAGCTCTGAGCCTCCAACAAAGTGTTTTATATTTACTGGTACTGTGATATTTGTGTGCAACAGTGTAAAATTGAATTTCACAGCTTCGATCATATCTTATTTATTTTGTTCCGTCTATGATTCACAAAAGTTGACTTAAAGTTAAAGAGAAAGTGATGTTTTCTGCTTTAATGAAAAGTCCCTCTGCATGGCATGTGTGTTGATGTGTGCAATGAGGACCATAAGAGTAATGATTCTTCATGTTTCCAATTCTGTGGCATGTAAGTGCTTGTACTTGAAATGATCTGTCGTGAATGGTCGGTGTGACTAATAATTTCCCCAACTATCATGTCTCATTTGTCAAAGTGTCTCTCTTCAAATAAAATCCCCACACGTAGTATGATAATGACTGTTTATGACGAACAGCATTGAACAGAGACTTGCTAAAGCTTTTTTATCTTGTGCTCTTCAGATTTTACCGCAAAAATGAACAGAAAGCCTAAATCAATTATAAATGCATAATAAACTTGATAAAGGAACAAAGTGATTGAAAAAATCACTTGTATGGTTCAGGCCTTAAATTTTAATATTTTTAGGGCAAGGCCACTTTTCTGTAGGGCACATTCCTATATTACAGCACAAATATGAAGAATTGGAAAGGGCACAAAAAATCTCCAAGGCCAATGAGAGGGGCATTGAGGCCACTCAAAGGGGCATCCGCGGCCATGGCCTTGGTGGCCTTGGATTAATTTAAGCCCTGATGGTTGTCTATATTAAGAGAAATAGGTTCTGAATAGTACTTTAAAAAGAACTTTAAATATCTACTAAAAGGCGATTCCAGTACCCTATTGTATTGCCTACATGTACATATGCCATTGAAATGTTTGCACATTTCAAAAGGTGATGCCCACGGCTATCGAAATTGCTTTAGGTTGATTTTTAAGTCTTTGCAATTGTGTTCTTTATGTTTCTAAAAGTAATGTAAAATAGACACAGATTTGATGATTATGTACAGTGATAACTACTTTTTATAGCAACTACATAAAAAAAAACCTGTAAAAAGACCACTTTTCAATAAAGACCACAGATTTTGTTCCCCTTGAAAAATATGTCCTATTGAAACTTGTATTGAAGCAAAAAATCTTGCCTGCAAAGACCACTTTACTGGTCTCCCTTAAGCAGCCTTTCATCATATAATGGTGCATATTTACATTTAGCTAGTATTATAAGACAAATTGATAATCAAACTGATACGTCTGCTCTTACACATTAATCATTGATACTGATAGGTAGATATATCCTAAAATTGATATTAAAGTTTTAAAAAATTCTGGCATTGTGCAAACTTGTGCTCTGCCCCTATATATAGATGTTTGTTAATGTCCACATTTTATAGTAATACAAACATTGAGCATTGGGTGGTATTCTCATAAGTCCAGACTAAACAAGAATTTTAGTTCACACTTCTATGGAATGCTAGGTGTCATCTTCCTCCTTCAATCATGACAAAGATAATCTACCAAGGACTTTATTGAAATTTAGTCTATAATCATATTATCTTTTTCTTCCCATTTCATTGCAAATTAAATTTGTGGACACTTTTCATTGCAGGATTAAAATAATCTGTACAAGGTAAATGAGTTGGCAACAGGCACTCCATAAAAGTGTGGACTAAGTTAAGACAGGCTTAACTTAGTATGCGCTATCGGAATACCACCCATTGTCATAAATTTGCAAAGTTGTGATTTTTAGGGTTTCTTCTTCAATGTCAGTGTTTACAAAACTTCACTCTTGATATGGTAATGAAGTGATAATAGTAACTGCTTGATTTGTCTTAAAATAAAAAGAACCTAATTATTTAAGTATATTTGTAATGTGAATTTCAAGGAATATAAGGATTTCATCATCTATAGTACATCAATTGCAACAACTTAATCAAATTATATATTGTGGGCCCTGTTATTATGACATTAATGTATACCGATATGTATTTTTTAATTCATGCTTATTTACAATATTTTTATTTTGGGGGGCGGGGGGGGGGGGGGGGGGGGGGGGGGCAATGAAAATAAATAAAATTTGATCTAGTTAAACATACTACATGCAGTATTAATTATGTTTATAAACAATATTTTATAATATTAATTTCTAAGCTATGATTAAAATTGCACATTGTCAGGTATTTTGGGACTATTACCCAATACTAAGAAATAACCTATAATAAATATGGAATTTGAATTCATACTTACCATATAACATATATGTTTAAATGATAAAGATATTTATTTTTATAGAGGGATTTTTTTTTCAAGTGAGAGGGGGTAAAGGGATTTTCCAACATATCAAGTGTATCATAAGGTTTATCATACTGCTGAAAACTATACCGGATACAATACATGTTTGCAGTATGTTTCTTTTTATGATTATTTTTTTTATTTTTTTGTTATGGTTCAGAAATGTCAAATATTTCAACTCATATATGCACAAACAAATTTGCCTTCCACCTCCACTCTGTTCTAGATTCCATTGAACTTTAAAATACATTTTATAAATACATTTTATGATTTATCTTTAAATTTTATTTATTTTATTTATTCTTATTCTTTGTTTCTTTTCATACTACATGCTACATGAATGAGAAAAAAATACAAGCATGCCAATGACAATATCCTCTTAGATGCTGTAATTACAATGCTAAAGAGGAACCAAAATAAACAACACATGAGGAAGGAACACAAGTCATGAACTATGCAGCACATATTGAGACTATTAAAGATAATTCCCTGCCCTCCATACAAATAGAACATTGTGAATCACCCACATTTGTTCTTCCAGCAATTTCTAGTAACACCCATGTCCACATCACATCATGATAGCATGTTGCAAAGGATCACATGGGAATTACCTATGATGACATCATCACCCATACTTAGAACTGGCTTCCCCTGCTACCTAGGAATAGTCTTAAAACTCAGACCCAGAGTATACTTTCAAACCTTTGTATTAAAACCAAGCACATATTTTTGGCACAGTTGGCTGGTGTATCCATGTGCTCTTAAATTTATTTTTTTATTTGTACCTGAGTTATAGCCAATTGACAGAAGAAAATGTACATGTACATCTCCTTTCCCCTCCTGGAATTAGTTAATCATGTGGTTGCATATTGTAAGCATACTTGGTACTGATATACAGACAGTGTTGTATATACTGTAGGAATCTTAGGATGTGAGAAATGTAGGGAAAGTTTGATCTGTTCGCTCAAGTTAGGGCATATGATGTGTGATAGACCTCATATAACACGTTTGTTAACTCCTCTATTCAAATCTTGTAAAAGAAAAACAAAATGATTCATGTAGTCAAAATATGTCAAGGAGTTTGTATTTGCAGACTACCACTCCCAATGTTTGGATATGAATATGCATGACCCTCCAGTATAGTAGGTATGTGTCAACATTTGTCAACAGCTGATATCTCAGATTCTTGTTTGTACTGGTTGGAGCATGATGGTATGAAACCAATTCTCTAATTATCAGGAGACTCTGACAAGATCTGGCTTTTGGAAAGGATAACTATAAAAAGCATCTGCTACATGATATCGAACTAGTTTTGCCTTTGAGATTGAATGGAGAACTCTTCTTTGCGAAACATTGGATTTTCCAAGGATTTCTTATAAACTCAGAACTTCTTGGAGGACTTTGGCCTGTGGAACATACTTTTTTCTCAGCGTCTTGGAGTTTCTAAAGATTTCCACCAAACTCAGACATAATTGGAGAACATTTACCTGTGGATTTAAAAAAAGGGGAATCTCTTGGAGTTTCTATGGATTTTAATTGAATTCATAACTGCTAGGAAAACTCTTGATTGTATAATCTCTTGTATATCTCTTGGAGTTTCTATAAGGATTTCAGTTGCACTGAGAACTTCTAGATGAACGGAGCATTTATTTAATATAGTGGAGTTTCTAACAATTTCTGTTGTACTCATCTACGAAAGCAGCATTATGTATGAGGGTCTACCATATAATTGTTCATTTTTATTGCCTATACCTCCCCATCTACTTCAGCTGCCAAGTTCAACGATTTCAGGTTTGTCATTGTACTTTTTGCCTTGATCAGTTTATGTAGCGTAGAAAGCAAGATAGAGAGAGAGAGAGAGAGAGAGAGGGGGGGGGGGGAGATACAGACAGAGATAGAGACAGACAGATGGAGAGAAAGAAGAGACATAGAGACAGAAATAGATAGACAAACAGACAGACTGAGGAAGAGACAGAGAGAAATCTAGATTTTATCCTACGATCCATTTTCTCTTAGAGGGAAGAGTTTGTGCTGACTAAATGTAAAACTGGGGGAGCATCATTGTCAAAGGGTATTTTAACCTAGTATTAACATTTATATTTAAGATGTATTGATGGGAATTCCCTTGTAAACATGTTTCCATTCATGTAGGTCTTATGCCCAAGTGCACATAGGTTTCAGTTCTGTTCTGAACCAGCTGCACAACTATGTAACATATATAAGGATTGCATACTTGTTTCATAAAGTATGCTTTGTATAGAGATCATGTAGGTCTCACTATGATTTCATGTCCTTGTTTTTCAGTTATCTTATTTTAAATCTGAATTACTTCTAGTATTGATAAATGTTTTAAAGTTCAATTAACTTGGTTGAATGATGTTAGCAACAGGAGTATGAGAGGGATCAAGTAGTAGAGTATTAATAGATACAAAAGAGAAAATTTCCATGTTCCTTATGTTCTTATTTGATGTTTCATTCATTATTGGGCCTTTGTATTTACCATTATCATTAATGGATGAAGCCACTAGGGGAGGATTGTATTAAAGAACAATGAATTGTGTTTGGCTAAACCTATGAATATTTGCGTAGAAGCAGGTACATTGTATTATATTTGTGATTCTTTTATAAAATGTTCTGATATTTAACAAAGGTTTCATGGTTTTGACCCTGCGATCTTATGCTAGATGTTTTTAGTCACAAGTTTTACTCCTGCTCTAGGTCTCAGGGCAGCGTTTCACGGAACCGTCATAAGTACAAGTTAATCGACATCCCATTGAAATGCTATCAACATTATGTACAGTAAGGGGTGAATCAATATGAACAAAAATGGGAAAACATGTTCTGATTTTTTCATTATTATGTTTATTTCAATGTTATTGATTTATTATGGAAATGACAAAGGTAGTTAAAATGTTCTGCATCATTCCTGGAGATTAAATGATGTCAAAACAAAAACACTTCCCATTTTTCTTCTTACATTTCCATCTTATTCATTCCAGTGTTCTTGTTGATCATGGTAACTGTTAACTCACACAAGAGCACAAGAGATTTAGTATCTCCTGTGATTTTTACTCTATGGAATTATTGTGTCCTGTTTCTGCTTAAGAGCACATTTGCTGATGATATGCCCTGTAGAATAACACAATATTAATACCATTTTCTACATAATTTACAGGATCCCCAGCCTACCGAAGATGGTTTCAGGAAACAAACTTTGAGAACTACCAGGAAAATCTTGAAGAGGAGAATTCACACCGTACCTCCTACGAATACCCCCAACATCGTGTAGGATACGACAAGGACATCATCATCGTCGACAGGTCCCCCGAGGCACAGAAGTTGGATCTGGACGTTGAGTCTGTCGTCGAAGTGAAGATTAGAGGGGAGTCCCACTATGGTGTCATCAAGTCACTGAATACTATTCTTAATTGGCTTGATGATAAGATAGCTGGTATAGAGCTAGTATGTATATATCTTATCTCTTTATTTAGATTTTGTTAATGACTTTATTGATGCTCTCTCTCTCTTGTCTCTCTCGCTCTCTCTCTTTCTCTCTCTCCTCTCCTCTCCACCCCCTCTCTCTCTTCTTTCCCTCTCTCTCTTCTCTCCACCCCCTCTCTCCCTTTCCCCTCTTTCCCTCTCCCTCCACCCCCTCTCTCTCTCTCTCTTTCTCTCTCTCTCTCTCTCTTTCTCTCTCTCTCTCTCTTTTTTTTCTTCTATTGTAGTGTAGATGGCATATACTTAGACTGGTGATCATATCTGTCTTAAACCTTCTTTGTTGTTAATATCTCTCCATCTGTACTGTCCCATTATCCTTCACTCCTCTTCCAGCCATACCTTCAAAGTTACTACTCCTTTTGTCTGTTTAATCATGAATCTCTAACTTTGTTAGTCGGACCAAAATCTTCCATTCTATTTTTTATATTTCAGAAGGCAACTTTTTTTATGAGTATCAAATATAGTGCTTGATAGTGAGAATAATGATGATCATTGAATCTAATGACAGAAGTAAAGAAAAATTCACCATAAAGCACTTCATAGAAACCAAGTTATTGTTATAATTTTATAAAGAATACAATGAACAAGGAAAGCGTTTTGGGACATACCAGATGATTGACTTCACAGAATGATATTCTTAGAATCGATAAACATGTGTCATACAAATCATTCAGGAAAGTTGCCGGTAATAACATCAAAAGTAGCAAGTAGCAACTAATAGGGGCAAACTTAGTAGGTGCTTTAACAGATTAACAGTTTATATTTGGCATTTGTCTGTCTCTTGCTATTAGTCATCACCATTTTCACCATTTTCAGGAGGAACCGATTATTGGTGGTACTGACGGCAGCTTTGAAGGTATCCAATACTTCACATGTGGATCACGGAAGGCAGTCTTTGTCTATCTGTCTCAGTGTAGACCAGATTCACGGTTTCCAACTAATGCTGATACCTACAGGGTCTTCACGAGAGAAACCAGTCTAGGTATGCATTATCATTATCAATGGCGAAGGCTCCATGTATGTACCAACATCCCTACATGTATATCCAGATGGGTAGCATATTTTAACATGGGTTGAGCAAGCCCCACAAGGATGCATACAAAATGAACTTTTCACCTTCAGAGTATTTGATGATGATTGTTTACCTGACTGCTAAAAAAGTAAGCAAGGGACAGGCAGCTTTAAGTCCTCTCAGAGGGACTTGGTAATGAGGATGAATGCCTTATCAAAACTTGTAATCTGGTTATCAGTAAAATATTCATTGTTTTTATTGTATATTGAATGTGATTTGGCATACAGACTGCCATGTTCGAAATAGGGAATAAGCTTATTCATACTTCACTTCTCTTTTGCGTTCTGCTGATACAGATTTTGGAAACCAGGAATCACCCATCATTGAGGGCTATGTGAGGCCTCAAAGGTTCCAGCAGTTCTCAGTGGGTGAGAACAAGGGCATCCAGGGAGACCAGAACTCCTGCTACCTAGACGTGACCCTCTACAGCATGTTCTCTTTCAATCTCACCTTTGACCCCTTGCTGGTGAGACAAAAGGATGGGAGCGATGTGGAGCACTTCGAAGAAATTCAGAGGATAGTCCGAGAGAAAATCGTCAACCCTCTTAGACAGTAAGAGTCTCAGTGTCACCTTGTTGGTTGGTTGGTGGGGGGGGGGGGGGGAATTGTTTGGTGGTAGTTGTGGTGGTAGTGTTGGTGGAGGAATTGGGGCAGGGGAAATCCAGACCATACTAAGCGAGAAGAAAGTAAACCCTCTTAGACAGTAAGATTGTGTTATTGGGTTTGATTGGTGGGTAGGTTGTTTGATGGTATTAGTGGTTGGCGAGGGGATGTTTTATGGTGAGAGGGGGTGAATGGTTGTTTGTGTGGATGTTTATAAAGATGGGGGGGGGGTTGGTTTGTAACGTGTATTGTAAGAGGGGAATATGGATGGTTCAGGAAAATATGAAAATAGGAATTTTCTATATCATCATATCGTCGCCTGGTTGGCAGAAAGGCGTTAGCTTGAATTTCAGGTAAAAAAATTAAGCCGCTAAGCAGAAGGGCGTTAGCACTAAATCGCCTCAAACTTTTATAAAAGTGGCTTATTTCCGAGAAAAAAAATTGTGGCCACATTCTACTATAACATTTCTATTAGTCTTTTAAGTTATAGACCAATTTTCGGGACGGAAAGCAGTTTGAATATGAAACAAATCTTTAAATGCGAATAATTCAAAAAGTAGTTTTTGAGTCGCTCGCTTACTAATGCCTTGCTTCTGCCAGCCGGAGGACGATATGTTGTTATAAATCTTATTTGTGGAAGATATGACACAAAAAATATTAATGTAAACACTGAGGAGTGACTACCATATACATGTGCTAGGGCAGGCAATGATGATAGATAACAGACCGTTTAAGTTTAATTTTTTACATGTGGTATGATTTGCTGGTCCTGACCATGCTTTGTTTATTTCCACTTATAGGCATGGGTTTGTACGAGCTGATCGAGTACGAGACCTGCGTCTTCATCTTGATAAACTAGGGCTTTTACCAGGAATGACCAATGAGGAGAAGGACCCAGAAGAACTGCTTCATATGCTTGTCAGGGATGTCTTGAAGGCTCAGCCACTCATCAAAACAAGGTAAAATACTGAAAGGGACTGCATAGTTGACTCGTAGGGGGTAAGGAATCGATGATGAAGATGGTGATGGCGAGTTAATGGTGATGATGATGCCAATTATGGTGATGATGACAATGATAATGATAACGATGATGATGATAATGATTATGATTATGATGAGGATGATGACAATGAAGATGATGGCGATGATGATGATGATGAAAGTTTGGTTAGCTAATTGTAATCCATGATATAAAGATATAAAGAGGATTAAAAGTGTAGGTATATCTTGGTGATGAATGAGCCATCACAAATGGAAAAACATCATCTTTACCATCCTATTCATATTTGCCTTGTAATGATAGGGGAAAAAATGTATATGGGACCTCAGAAGGTCTTTTTTGGGGGTATATATATATATATATATATATATATATATATATGTCATCCAAGAATTGTCTTTATTTGTTTACAAGTTAGCTGCAATAGTTTCAGTTCTTTATTCATGTTTTCAATATGCCCCAATTCTTAAAAGACATTTTGATGCTGAGGTGTCAGCTTTTCAGAAAATTTGCACCATTGTAGTATTAGTTTTCATTTTCAAACACCATTAATCTGTAATGTACAATGTATGTACGTTCCAAAGTGCTATACTTTCCCTGTTTTAGATATACATTTTAAATAACTCATCTGTAGATTGATAAATACTACTTTTCTTGATATTTTCCCCTGTACTTCTACTCTTGGAAGTACCGGTATGTAATTACCAATCAGGGAAAAGACTGAAGGGGAAATATTTTGAGTGTTTGCACAACATGCAATTTATAATTAGTTCAAGTGCTTATAGAATTTATAGTTTTTTTATGTGACCATGTTTATATACAGTTACTTTGTAGCATAGCCTTCCAGCACTCAAGTGAAGTGAATTGATTTTGTTGTGATTTGTTCATTGCACGGAAGTATGTACATGTTTCTGATGTCCCGGAACAATGCTTTTATTTAAGATGACTCTATGTACATACAAACAGGGAAGTTAACTACTTTATTGTACATTTGATATCTAAAACCAATATTGGTTTTTGTCCAAAAGGATTTGACAACTTGATAGTATATCATGAAACTTCACACTATACCTGCAAGCAAACAGAATTATTTTTTTGGACACAGCTATAAATCCTCTTCCCTCAATTTGGTTGCCAAGTATTGTGATGTTTTGATTTTCAGCATCCAATTTCCTATTTACATGTATTTAGGAGCCAAGTCATTTTTTTGTTTTTAATATTTAAAAATGAACTACCTTACATGTACATATTTTGCTGTTCATAACAACTGCAAAGACTTTATAAAGTTATACGCTTATATTTTTAAGGAAAAATTCTAACTCAGAATCTAAAATTTCCCTTAATGTTTGTTGAAAGTATTTCATTCAGGATCTAATAGATTATGATGAATTGTGAACAATTTCTATACAGATTGAGGCTGTATACATGCTATTTCTCTTGATCAAAGTTGGATGTAGTACTAGGATTTTTGTTGGTGCCATTGTAAAATGTCTTTCTGTTTATGATTTTCTGTATTTTGATTTATGCTACTGTTACTGGTAACAAGAAGAGTGCATGACATACACTCGTGAGCTCTGTAGCTTTTGCAATTTTTTGTATAGTTCTCCTACATATGCTGTTTCCAATTGTGGACTGAAGTTTGATTCTATAGCAAGGATCCGGCAGGACAAATTTCAGTTGATTTCAAGACAGGAAGAAGGAGATATAAGTGGAGATAACTTTCCAGGTAGTACTGTATCTGATTCTACATTGGCAGCCATGATACTTGGCTGCCTGGAGATGTTCACTTAACCTTGTCAGCTGAACAAAGGATTGTTAAAGTCTACTGTGCCTTCAGAACTGTGAGTTAAGTACTTAAGAATGGAGCTACATTGTTATCTCCTTTGTGCCCTTATATGCGGAGTGCAGACTGGGTGGAATAAGCCCAATCAACAAGATTACTTCTTTTCTTCAGAGGTCCATCCCCGAGAAATTAACTCTTGCTTGAATAGGCGTTTTGTTGGGAGGAGAATACCCCATTACTCCAATACAACATCCACTTTTCAAGTAGAAATCTTTTCTTGTGGGGATGTCGAATCTAACCCGGGACCTCATGGGGGTCTATTTGAGGTCACTGCCCCTGATCCACCCCGCCCCACGACAAGCAAACTTCTGAGTTGTACTTTACTTAATGCAAGAAGTTTGCGTTCAAAGATACCTGAACTTGAGTCATATATATGCACCACCAAACCAGATATCATTTGTATAAACGAGACATGGCTTACTGAAGATATTTATGATGCGTCACTGGGGTTTCCGAATGAATACCTTGTTTTTCGACGTGATCGCGCTGATAATCGACGAGGAGGGGGTGTTCTGCTGGCACTCCATCGGCATCTGAAACCCGACCGGAAGAGCATCCACAACGACACCTTAGAATTAATCTGGGCCACGTTCAAGAATGGCTCTGACTCGTGGCTTATTGGCGTTCTGTATAGGCCTCCAAACAGCAACGCATCATATTGGGAGTTGCTACAAGCTGAGCTGGATTCTGTGAAACCCGATGACTACGATGGGCTTCTTCTCCTAGGGGACCTCAACGTCGACATGTCCCCTAATGTTCTTTCAAACAACCGGACCCATTTGTCATCTTTCATGAATGACTTCGATCTCACTCAAATGGTAGCTTCTCCTACTCGTCTGACCGCTACGAATGTCTATTCAGGGTCACTCATAGACTTAGTATTGACCAATCGTGACCATGCCATAACAAATGTTCATACTATGGCCAATCCTGTGGAATCGGACCATTTGGCTGTTTGCGTTCGTCTTCGCTCATCGCAGCCCGCTCCAATGCCTTCTGTTCTCCGGTCTTTCCTACATGTCAACAAGGGAGACTTTGACCACCTGCGGACTCTTCTTCATCTCATTCCCTGGAACTCATTTCTAGACCCTTGTAATGTTGAAGAAAGTTCTGAACTATTCTTAGATCTTTTTAATGCAGCAATTAAAGAATCGATTCCACAATCATCTAAGCGTAAATCCAAATGCTCACCATGGATCACAGCTGAACTCAAGAAACTTATTTCTAAGAAACACTGTCTGTTCAGAAACGCTAAAAGAACTAAAGCTTCGACTGACTGGGTTACATACAAAACTATTAGGAATCAGGTGAAAACCCTCACAAGGAAAGCTTACTGGACTTATGTTAACACGTTATTTGCACGTAAAGACAACAGGAAGAGTTTTTGGTCATTTGTACGTAGTCGTAAACAATCACTACCTCCTCCTAAATTTAAGTATAATGAAGCACAGTTTACTCAACCAGATGATATAGCTGCAGCTTTCAATTCTCATTTCTCTTCAGTTTTTTCCCCTCCTTCTACTCTACCTACTGAAGCTCCTGAGTGCACCTTGCCTATCTCTGAACTTAATCGTTTAACAGTATCTGATACAGATGTCAGCTCAGCTCTCTCCAGATTACCTGTAAATAAATCTCCTGGGCCAGACGGTATTTCACCAAATGTTCTCTCTAAAGTAGCTTCTGAAATTTCACATCCCTTGTCAATTCTGTTCAATGCATCTCTGAGTTGTGGTAAAGTTCCTTCTTCATGGAGAAAATCCCATATTACTCCTGTATTCAAGAATGGTGATAGGTCGTTGGTCTCTAACTACCGCCCAGTAGCCCTTACTTCTGTGTTATGTAAAGTTCTAGAGAAACTTGTAGTCAACTGCATACAGGAACATGTAGGGTTATACGGTCTGATGAGTAAACACCAACATGGATTCACTAAAGGTAAAAATTGTGTAACACAACTTGTAAACTTGGTACATAATTGGGCAGCCTCACTAGACAAACCACGCCCTCCACACATTGATGCAATTTTTCTTGACATGTCAAAGGCTTTTGATAGAATGCCTCACAATATCCTCCTATCCAAGTTAGCAACCCAGTACAATATTCGTGGTAACATATGGAAGTGGGTACGTTCCTTTCTATCAAATCGGCTCCAAAGAGTAATGTTCCTGGGTTCTCTCTCTTCTTGGAGTAATGTCCCTTCTGGTGTGCCCCAGGGTAGTGTAATTGGACCGCTACTTTTTAATCTATTTGTCAACAATGTTATCTCTGATGTTTCCTCCGATCTTTTTCTTTTTGCTGACGATATGTTACTGTTTCGTACAATTCGTTCACACGATGATGAAATGCAATTGCAACATGACTTAGACTCACTCCATCAATGGACAATTACAAATGGCATGTCATTCAATCCATCCAAAACGAAAGTGATGCATATAACTAGGAAGCGGAACATCCAAAATGCCGTCTATACCCTGGGTGACACACTGCTTTCTTCTGTCACTTCTTACAAATATCTTGGTATTGTAATAGGTTCAAACCTCTCTTGGAACATTCAGGTTGATGCAATTACTGCACGCGCGAGTCGTCTTCTTGGGTTTATAAGAGTTGTAGCCCGTGGTTCGTCCACCTCTGCTATATTTGCCCTCTACAAGGCCTTGGTACTGCCAATACTTGAATATGGCATCCCTGCATGGCATCCCAATACCCTAAAACAAACACAACAATTAGAAAGAATCCAACGTATAGCAACGCGCGTTGCTCTTAAACAGAGAAGAGGAGAAATGCCGTATGAAGAAAGGTTAAGGGTTCTCAACTGGTCTACCTTGTCAGCTCGTAGAGATTATCTTTTATGTTCATTTACCTTCAAATGTCTGTACTTTTGTTGTGACTGTGAAACACTAATAGAAAACATAGCCATTAGCAAGAGACGCCTCTTTACACTGTCCTTCATTCATCAGCAATCACGAACACAGGCCCTGTTCCTGTCCGCTTCCCGGAGATTTCCTCGGGTATGGGATGAATTACCGTTAGAGGTTAGGGATGCATCGGTGGTCTCCTCACTTTCATCCTTTCTACTCTCTATGAAGCGGTCCCTTCTCGATTCTAACTAATTTTCAAACTGAGAGGGGCTTCCTCACTGAGAGTGGGGGATTCCTCCTTTTCTTTAATAATCATTGTTTATCAATATCCAAGAACTTATTGAAACACTGGATTCAGAATGTTACTTGTTTAATTTTTTTTTTCTTTTTTTCTTTCAATGATACAATGATTATATTAATTGAACCTGGAACAATGGTCCACATTGATAGCTTCATATCCACATTATGCCACTCTTCTTAAATGATAACACCATAGGCCCTACTCAATATTTTGTGAATGATTATCAATCCTAATGCTTATTGCACCTTTAATTTCTGCAAAAATTGTACATTATTGTGGTACATGACGTTTTATAATTTCCTTGATTGTATAGCCCAAAACAATATTTACGCTCTATTCATATGTATATTTTTGTTATATACAAGAAATTGCTGGTCAGATTTACCTTGAACAATTACACATCTCTTCTTTTTTCTTTTTAATTAGAATTTCTTTGAATGAGACACCGTTGGATCAATTGAATAATGACGATTTATGTTAATTGTGTTCTGGTTATTTTAAGTTTTAAGTTTTTTCTGCATACAAATCTTAAAGCACTCTATTCATTGCAGCTTCATATCCTCTTAATGCATTTATCGAAATTTAATTTAATCATGATTTTCTGAATGATTGTTTGTAATTATTTTGTATACTTATATAATGTGAACCTTGCAATATATTCTATTATGTCTCGGAATGGCATGTGAGGGTGCACATGCCCCCGGGCAACAGGGAAGAATTTCGCTTTTGTGCACCCTGACCCACATGCTATTCCTTCTTTATCTTACTTTGTATTTTTCCTATTTCACTCTGTATACACCTATATACACTGTACATGCTGAATGTGTTTTTATGGTCGAATAAATAATAATAATAATAATAATAATGCATTTTTCTCTTGTTCTCTCAGGCATGGAGATACAAAGGAGATAGACAACCAGTACTTGTATCAGATCTTCATGGATAAGAATGACTCCTTGCAGCTACCAAAGGTGGAACAACTCCTCCATCAATCCTTCTTGGATAACGAGCTCAAGCTGGTCGAGGTAATACTCTCATTTCTGTCCTGTTCTTCAGTTTAGTCCACTGGGCCCCGTCTTACAAAGAGTTACGATTGATCCAAATCAATCACAAACTCTCCAATCAATCGCAAGTTTGCAGTCTCCTATCTCTTATGTACATAGTTACAATTTATATCAACTGCGAATAAATTGCGATTGATATCAGTTTCAGTTCAGTTCAGTTTATTCATTTTTCTCAAGCATAAAAACAATATTATAATATATACAAAAATGACAAATATAGTAGGAGAAAAAACGTAAACTACAAAAGAGTTTAAAACTTGTATGGCGTAGTTCCCAGTAAAGGGAAAAAATACATGGTATAAACAATTGCAATAAAAAAAATACAAAATTATGCAGATTAATCAGTAACACACTACACCAACAGACACCAGCAATTATACAGGGAGGGTGGGGGAGGGGGGGGGGGGGGTAATGGTAATTGTAAATTTAATGAAGAAAAACAAAATCGACTATTTGTAAGACGGGGCTGCAGGGCTGATTTGAAGTCAGGCGTGTATTCTACTAATATGGTTAAACCTGTTCCCGGGTCTAAAATCATGCTTAACAAAGGCAACCTTTGACCTCAGAAGAAATTTCGTTCTTAAATCCGATTATAAACAAAAGCCTAAGCCCAACATGTTTAGGTTTGGATTTAGTAGAATATGGGCTGGGTATGTTTTTGGAATAATGTGACTTAAAGGTACTATGTCCCATTTGCAGGCCAAAAAAATGAAAATGTTAAATTCTAATGGCATTTGAAAGATGATACTAATTTAGAACTTCCCTAAAAAAGGTGGGGCTTGAAAATGTCTTCAAGTGGGAAAATAACGACTATTAGTTGTCAAATCGACTTAGGAGCTATAGAGCCAATAAGTAATAGTCTTGATTTTCAGACCATTGTACCGAATGGTCATATGTTTTATGCTGCGCAAAGATTCAATCAGTTTAATTTAGCCATCACAAGAAGTGGGTAATTGATGCAGACAAATGCTAATGTACCCTTTACAGCTCATTTTATGTATGTTATTACCAAAGAAGAAAAAAAGCCAGTCAGTCACTCAATAGTGTCTGATAGTGAAGTCTAGCAAGTAAACGAGTTTCCTTGCATAATTTGAATATTAGGACACTGCTAACGTTTAAATTTCACAGATAGGACATACATGATATATTCATAATTCCTGCAAAGTTCTACAGAATTTGAGGTTGGCTGCAAAAGGGACATAGTACCTTTATTCTGTAGAGTGTCTTTCCTGCAGCTTTTTACTAATGGGGACCAGTTACTGAAGTTATTTTAACATTTGAACTTAAATTGTTATCCAAAGCTTTCACATCACAGCTGAACATCTGTACGTTTATCTATGTAAATTTTTCTTTCGTAGATTCCAGATTGTCTGATTGTACAGATGCCAAGGTTTGGAAAGGATTATAAGATGTATAGCAGGATTCTACCTAGTCTAACCATCGACATCACTGATCTACTCGAAAACTGTAAGTTATATCAGAGCCAGATAAACTATTGTATGACCTGCTTAAGAAATTGTAATGTCATTATTATGTGTATACTGTTAGTTGTTGAGAAAGAGATCATTTCATTGATTTAAAGTTACATGTATTTGAATTAAAAGTTCCTCAGATACATGTAAAACTACAATGAAAATAATACTCACTCGATGCTGTGGAAGAGGGTAGTCCCCCTCTCTCTCCCTCTCTCCCTCTCTCTCTCTCTCTCTCTCCTTCTCTTTCTCTCTCCCTCTATCTCTCTCTCTCTTTCTCCCTCCCTCTATCCCCCTCTCTCTCTCTCTCTCTCTCTCTCTTTCTCTCTCCCTCTCTCTCTCTTTCTCCCTCTTTCTCCCTCCTCTATCCCCTCTCTCTCTCTGTAGTTCAACAAACTTCTACTGGTATATATGTAATGTCTTCATGTTATATATGATGTTTGTTTGTTGCAGATCCAAGACAGTGCACTATCTGTGGAGAACTGGCCAAGATGGAATGTAGAGACTGCAGACCAGATGAAGAGATCTCTGAAGAATTCATCAAATCATACTGCGAAGGCTGTTATGATATGGTGAGTATAGTATAGAGAATGTGAGGAGTGGAGAAAAGGCAAAGGGAAGACAGAGAGAGGGGGAACAGAAGACAGAGAGAGAGAGAGAGAGAGAGAGAGAGAGAGAGAGTTAAAGAGAGAGAGAGAGAGAGAATTAAAGAGAGAGAGAGAGAGGGAGAGAGAGTTAAAGAGAGAGAAATGAATAGGCAGAAAGAAAACATTAGAGAGGGGCAAAAGTGGTCGAGAGATGAAGATGGTGATGATGAAAGATATAACATAAAATTCAGTTATATTTTGATAAAATTGTAGTGAGAGAGAAAAAATGACTGATAGAAATGTGAAAGATTGAAAGTGTTTCGATGATAGAGGGTATTTATGAGTTTAAAAACTGTGAGAAAAGGATGGGAGAGTAAAGGAAAGATGAGTTAAATGACAGAAGACCGATTATGAGAGAAAGAAATAAAGAACCAAATCACAAGAAGTTTTGCGCTTGCACCTTGACTAATACCTTCCACAGAATACAACATTCAATATTCTTTTACATTCCTCAACTTTTCAGACCCACAGCAGTCTTCCAGGACACAGAACAAAACAGCTCAGCTTGATTCCAGAGGTTCAGAAAGGATATGAAATGATCAGCAGGACAAAGACAGAGAAACTTCCCTTCCAGCGACAGAGGATGGAGCTTTTTGCCGTGGTGTGCATCCAGACAAGTCATTACGTGGCGTTTGTGAAGACGGAGACGGAGACGGAGCCCACGCATTGGGTGTTCTTTGATAGCATGGCCGATAGAGATGGTACGTATGATGGTGAACGAGATGAAGATGATGATGCTGATGATTATGATAAAATTAATGTGATAATGATAAATATTAAATGTGATTAAAACAATGGTGATGCTGGTGGTGGTGGTGGTGGTGGTGGTGGTGGTGGTGGTGGTGGTGGTGGTGGTGGTGGTGGTGGTGGGGAGGGGAGGGGAGGGGAGGAGGAAAAATGGATGAAGATGATGATGCTGATGATCATGATCAAAATTGAAGTGATAATTACTTGGTACTTGGTACTTGGTACTTGGTAGGATTCCTCCAAAAGACGCCATAAAGGTGTTTAAACTGGAGGTGTGTCGTTGTGTGCGGCCACCAACTTAAGGTGCTGGTTTTAAGTTGGTTTTAAGCGCAGATTTCAAAGTATTTAAGGAAGGTTGGGCTACAATTGAGGGAGAAAGAATGTTCCAGTCCCTAACTGTCCTTGGGAAGAATGAGTAAGCGTATGCGTCCGTCCTGACTTTGTTGATATAGAATTGTTGGTCATGGCCCCGTCTTGTTCGTTCTACCTTGGGTGAGATGTAATTCTTGTAGGTGATGTCCATCAAGTCGTGAATCATTTTGTACAAACAGGTGATACGAGACTTCCGTCTTTCCTCCTGGAGGGGGATCCAACCCATTGAGTCCTTCAAAGCAGTGACACTTGAATATCTTGTATAAGTGTTTTTGACGAATCTAGCTGCTGCATTCTGGACTCTCTCAATGTTGCAGATGTTGGTGCTCGTATATGGATCCCAGGCTGAAGAAGCATAGTTAAGATGAGGTTTAACTAGCATAGAATACAGCTTCTCCTTTGTTTTTGTTGAAGATTGATAGAAGTTCCTTTTCAAGAAGTTGACTACTTTCATGGCCTTACTTCTTGAATTTTCAACCTGCTTGTTCCATCTCATATCGTTTTGTATGATTATACCCAAGTATCTGGTGTGTGTGGTTTCTTCGAGATTGACTCCCATCATCTGGAAGGATGTTTTGTTTGGTTTCCTGCTCCATGTGACTCGCATAGTTGTGCATTTGCTCGGGTTGAAAGTCATTCCCCAGGTATTGGCCCAGTTAACCAAGGTGTTAAGATCCGTTTGCAGTATTCCCTCATCTTTGGGTGATCTTATGGTGTTGTAGATTAAGCAATCATCCGCAAAGAGTCTGGTAGTACTCTTCACACCATTATCAATATCATTGATATGAAGGAGGAAGAGATGAGGCCTGAGGACCGTACCCTGTGGAGTCCCACTAAGGACGGGAACCCAGTCAGAACACTCGCCGTTTATCATGACCCTCTGGGATCTCTTAGTAAGGAAGGATGATATCCACTTTTTGGTTTTGGATCTAATCCCGTAGAAGTCCAGTTTAGTGAGAAGGCTATGATGCGGCATCACATCGAAGGCCTTCGAAAAATCCAGTATAGCTACATCCGTTGTCAGTCCAGTATCAATACTCTTTGTAAGATCATGAGTTGTCAAGATAAGCTTGCCTTTCTGAAAGCATGCTGGTTGTCAGAGAGTATTTTGATAAATGGGTCATAAGATTCGAATCAATGATATGTTCCAGGAGCTTACAGCAAACACACGTTAGAGAGACCGGACGGTAATTCGCTGGATTTGTTGTGGGCCCTTTCTTGTAGATGGGTGTGATGTTTGCTTTCCTCCAATCCTCCGGGAGGTCACCCAGGTCGAGTGATTGCTGAAATAGATGCTGGAGTACAGGAGCAATTTCATCTGCTGCTAACTTCAAGGCTTGATTCGGGACTTGATCTGGACCTATAGCCTTTGAGGTATTGATATTCTGCAACAGCTTCCTAACTCCTTCTGTATCGACAATTATGGGTGGCATCTCCGGGAAGGGATTTCCAGTCATGGTTGGTTGAGGCTTTTGGCCTTGGCTCTCTTGATTGAAGACGCTTTCAAACTGGCTTGATAGTGCAAACGCTTAGTCTCGGGCATTTGTGAGAGTTTGATCATTGACTTTCAGGGTTTGAATGCCGACATTGTCCTTTCTTGTTGAGCGTATATATCGCCAGAAATTCTTGGTGTTCGCGTCCTTCGTCAACTCTTTGATGTATTGCCTGTGTGCAGATCTGATGGATTTACTAGCATCTTTGCATATGTTTGTAAAATCAATCCAGTTGTAAAAATCAATCCAGGATTACAAACATTAAATGTGATTATAGTAATGTTGCTGCTGTTGGTAATGATGATGTTGGTGGTGGTGAGGAGAAGGAAAATGAATGATGATGATTATGGTAATGGTAATGATGGAGATTATGAGGATGAGGATGATGGTTATCCTGATAATTTTGCTTCTCATTATGGTAATAGTTTCAATAGTTTTTTAATTTTGTTTATATGCCTTTAAGTTTGCTAATACATATATTATCAAAGAATGCTTGCAAATTCTAAATCTGACATCTTGGCCCAAACTTATCAGTAATTAACAAAGCAAAGAATGTAATACTGATTTAGTCCTTTTCCTGTATTTTCCCCTCTTCTCTTAGCCTCCTCTGTTCCTGGTTTCAATATTCCCAAGGTAACCCACCTCAAGAACTTTGAAGGATGGTTAAAGGATCCCCAGAAGATAATTGACCAACCAGATGACAAGAAGCTGCCGGAGCACCTCAGGAGACTCTTAGGAGATGCCTACATCTGTTTCTACCGAAAGATAGAACAGGGTAGCAGTAGGCCCCCTAGAGAATACACCACAGGGGCAACAAACTATTGAATGGATGTAATCAAAATATGCACTATTCAGATTGTCTGAGGGAGATGGAAGCAGAGAGTCAGGAAGCAAGAGGAGGAGCTCCAGAATGTTCAGATAGAGGTCAGATACGAGTAGACCAGGGTGTCTCCCATCTTTGGTTGGAGCTCTTGGAGGAAGGTGGGCAGGAGTCTAATGGCTGATGCCTCGATCGGGACCCATTTGAGAAAGAAGTTGATAGGTTAACCTATTGCCTACGAGAACTCTGTGGATCCTGTATCATGCGTATGGGAATGAGAGAAATGGGTAGAGAACATCACTTGATGATGCTCATATGCCTTTCAGAAAAATGTATGGTAAGACATGGGATTGAGGATAAATGTCTGATATTGTACACAGAAATTGATTCTATCTATAAGGTCATAAGATGGAATTTGAGGCTAGCATGAACTAAAAGAAATTAGTTTTAGTTAAGAAAGAATGGTTGGGAGAAGAAGATTCGTATTTGTGTACCAAACATGAGAAATGATGGAGATAGATTTAGTGGGGTTATTTCTATACACAATTATACATATCCTTATGCCGGCTGTGAGGTTTGTGTCGCCATATCAAGGTTTGTTTCACAATTATACATGCAGCAGTATAAATATCGGCACAATGCAATTATTCAAAAATACAATATTTGAAAGGTATATGTATACACATACAGTCTGCAAACACAATAAATTGATGTGTGGCAGTATATAAGGACAACTAACCCATTAAAGATGATTTCATTTTCATTTTCATATAAGATGGGATTCTTCAACAAGTAAACTTGGGTTTAGTGTTCAACAGGTTATGATGATGCCTCGTTCATATGTAGACTTCTAGATCTAGGAGGGAAGAACAATGCACAGGTCATATAGGAGAAGGACCTGCTTGCGATGGAACAGGAAATCAATGGAAGACTGTAAGTTGATACCCTGGACCCATGGCCGTGTGAAAGGGGCAAATGACGCTCCTTGTCAGAAAAGAAATGTGAATGGAACAGCGCATACCTCTTCAAGGCCTTTGTATACTCGGTTACAAAGAAAAGTTGTGCAGACTATAAGATTAATGTAAACACAATGATACCAGGGTTAACAGTCATTGGAATGGTGTCTACATTGTGCTTGAGACTGATGTGAACACAGATGTAGGACTATGTCAATTTGTCCCTACTAGATGAGTGTGAAAACAATCATGTTTTAGTGTGAATGCCAGGGAGACCAGTATGAACACAGTCATAACACCAGCACAAACGCAGACATGGGACTTGTGTGAATGTCCGTGAGACCAGTATGAACACAGTCATAACACCTGCACCAACACAGACATGGGACTGGTGTGAATGCCAGGGAGGCCAGTATGAACACAGTCATAACACCTGCACCAACACAGACATGGGACTGGTGTGAATGTCCGGGAGACCAGTATGAACACAGTCAATGCACTTGTGTGAATGCTAGGGAGACAGGAATGAACACAGCAGACACAGGACCGAGTGATTCCTCATGTAATCTGTGTGAACACAATAATCGATGAGTGTGAATGCTAAAGAGACAATCCAGGGACTTGTGTGTTCTCCTTGCGGCTCAACATTTCATGTACTTATCCTATGCTTAATACAAACATGTGCAATGATGAACTGCTGAAAGTGCTGTATATGCAGTAAATTAGTAAAAGGTTGGTAGAATTACAATATAATGATTCTGTCTAAACTGGTTGAGATCAACTTTGTATTTTTGTTAATGACTGAATGAAGTAACTTTATTTTCAATAATATTCTTTTTCTTTCGAAAAGGGATTTCAGTCTACTATTTTGCCTTTTCTTTTCAACCAATATTACTGGCATGTAACAATGCATGGTTTCTTAAGAAACTTTGTATGAACAGTATTTCATACGTTGTAGATGAAACCTTATTTAGTTGGAAAGAAAATAATAGATATCGAAAGGGAATGTAAGATATTGTGTCAAAAGTGCAGTACACTAAAATTTTAATGTATTGCGTGACTCTATTGATAAATCATCACGAAACAAAACTAATCATGGCATGTATAAAACCGTTGTATATATTTCATCCAGTTCAATTTTCATGATTTTTCTTTTCTTCATACTTTTGTGTTATTGTGTGCCTACAAATGAACAAGCATAGCCAAAGGAGAAGTCTTGCATTACAATTCACTGTTGTTGATTTTCTTTTCTTTTTAACTTGGAGATGGAAAGTATAGAAGTATACTTGTATTTACAAATATATGTATTTTCTTTCATTTCAATATATGCTGTAAGCACTAGAAGTATGAAAATGTGTTTCCTCCTAAAAGATTGCCAATATATCTTACATTTAAAAAATACAGAAAGGTCTTATAAGATGGAAAATATCCCAAAATGTCACTATCTCTATATCTGGAAGCAGTCCTATAATATAGCACTTTTCTACGTTGTGTATCTTTTCAATCATTTATCAGTATGCTTCCCAATTTTTAAACATTTAAACAGATGGTCCTGATAGTTTGTTATAGTTTAGTATATGTTACCAAGCGTAAAAAAAGAACTGATTTATATTTTCTTTTGCAATATTTTGTATAATTATGTTGAGTTGATTGAAGGTTTATATCTAAAAATAAATAATGTGTTAAAAACAAGATAAATTTGTTCCCATTTACTTATTCAAACAAGAATATAATTATCTTAAATGAGATTATTTTATTGAATATTTCCAGTAGAATCGTTTTTATGAGACATAAATCTTATAACTAGAGATGAAAATATCTTCATTTTGTTTGGTTTGATAAAATTATTGGATTAGTTATGTTATATATTTTCATTGAATTAAATCCTGATGATTTCTGCAAACGGAGAAACAATTGAAGTATGTGAACCTAAACCTTTTGTAACATAAAAACTCCAATATATATAACCATCAATCATTTTTTTCTCCAATTCTAATAACAACACGCATTTAAAAAAAGTGCATGAGTATTCAGTGAGTGCTTTATCTCTTTAAAGCTCTTTTTTTTCTAACACTGCAACACGCAAGTCTCGAGAAAAAGAAAAGTCTCAAGAAACTTTCATATAACCTTTTTCTAGTATGGATGTGAAGCCATTAAGGTTCCAAATCATTTATGTCAAAGCATTTTTTACATACCGGTATATAAATATGAAGCATGGATTCAGTTCACTCCCATCCGAACTTATGTTTCCTTGCATTTGAAAAAAAGCATGGATTCAAAGGGTTTACTGACAATTGCATGATGTACATGCAATGTAATGATATTTCATGTTTAAATTATGTAATAAATATATTCACCAATGACTGCTGTGTTGAAGATATTGAAATGAATATGTTATTTACCTTTGAAGCTGATTAGTTAATTATGCCACTTGCCAATGAAAATATGATTGCCATTCTCCCTTACACGAAGCTTATAAGCTCATATCATTTTCCTTATGTACCTTAGTAGTATTAAGCTGCTATACACCTTTTCATCTATGATACACACTCGTTCTCGTATACATGTTGCTTATTTTAAAAGCATATTCTTATTGCAAATCTATTAATTTAGAGTTTTTCTAACATAATACATAATACACATCAATTTGTCCTTGAACATGTGAAGGCTCGTTCAGACATGAAGCGGTAAAACTGCAGCGTTTAAAAAAAAACACGTTTATGATGACGTTTAGATGTTAAGTTAATACGCTTCACTTTTTTGTATCTTATAAGGTGGAGCTTAGTGAATACACACAAAGTCATCTGAACTAGCCGTAACGGGCTACTTATTCTTTGGTCTCATTAAGCCTTCTTACCCTTCCTAAACATAAGACACATAAATTCCTTTTGTTTATCTAAATTTTGTTTTTGTGTTCGTTGTTGCGTGTTTCTTTTTTTTGGGGGGGGGGGGAGGGGGTGGTAGCTAAAACTTTAATCCACTTTCCAGTTAAATAAGGTTGTAAGGAAAATATCTGTTATTCACTTATTAAGGTTAAATAATTCTTTATTTCTTTCATGATGAGATGGTGTAGAATACATGAAGTACATTATCTACGTTCACTTACACTGGTTCCATTAAATAATGACGATTTTTCGACCATTCTCTCTGCCAGAGTCTAAACCTAGCTTGTTTTTGGAATTAAATTTGTTCATTTCGCTAATTTAGTTTTTGTTATTTCCTTATTATTCATGAAATAAAATCATTCTAGAATGGAACGTTATTCATATGTGTGCCAATGTTTTTTATAAAATTGCATCATGGATGGAGCTCGGGAAACGATAATGATGAAGATATTGATGATGGTGGTAGTGGTGATGAATGATGATAAAAAGGAAGTGAGGTATTCCCTTTGAGAGAAAAACAAAATGAAGAAATCGATATTAGAGGGAAAAGGTGTATACAAATGCAGAGACAATACACTATATCCAGAGAGAACGAGAGAGAAAGAGGCAGATTTGAAGAGAGAAAATATTTTGTGAAGACAGAGAGATGGACAGAAAAGGTTCAAAGGCTATTTCACATCTCTGAGAATTGTATTGAATTGCCTTGGTACTTGGATGGGAAATCCCTTTGGCAGCTCACTCAGGAAGCTATCCTGGAAGCTATACACATTATTTCATTCACCTGTAAAGAATAATTGTATTTCAATAGAATGCAAACTGCATATTTTATGTGTTGTAAGGTAGGGCAAGCCATACTGTTTGTCCTAACTAGCAACATATACTGAAAGCAAATCGCAATCTGACTATTGAGATTAAATTATTTGTAACGGGTGAATAAAACAATTGTATTGAGGCACTTCACAAAGAAGTTTGCATGAAATTTGTTTGCATTTAATTTGGGTATATTACGAAATAGCCTATTCAAATACAAGTGGTGATATAAAAGAGCACAAAACATAGAGGGGCAGTAGTTATGTAAACAGATGGCTTGGGGTTATGGTTTGAAGCGGAGATAGAAATATACTTTAATGCCACATTCGTCAGCTTTATACTACATGCAGAGGTGGCCCTCGGGGGGGGGGGGCACAGTGCTCCCACTTTTTCAGGTACCCCCAAAGTGCCCCCTTTTACATAGGACTAGTGCACCTTTAATTTCCTTTGTAAGAACTACCCCTTGCCCTTCTCATAAGTACCCGTTTTCCTTGTGATAGGTGCACCTCCCATTCTTGTCATAAGATTCCCTTCACTTTCTCATAAATACCCCTATTAAAATCGGATAATTGCCATTTTCCTTCGACAACTGCCCATTTTCCTTTTCGATACGTGTCCCTTTTCCATTCCCTTCTCCTCTGATAATTGCCCCTATTCAAATCTGACTGGTACACGTTTTACTTTGACAAGTGCCCCTTTTCCTTTGTAATTATTGCCCCCTTCCCCTTCTTATAAGTGCTCCTTTTCTTCTTTGATGAGTGCCCCTGTTCACCTCTGATAAGTGCCCCTTTTTTGTGGATACGTGCCTTTTTTCTCTTTCTAAAAAGTGCCCCTTATCCTTCTCGAAGATTCCCCTTTTTCACCCACAATAATAGTAAGAGCACCTTTTTTTTTTTGTCCCGAAAATTTGGCCGACCGATATTTTGTTCAGTTAGGGGGGGGGGGGGGGGTAAGGTCACCTTTTTTGGTCAGCCTTTAGCACAATATTTTTCTATTTTTTATTATTTTTTAATTAAAAACTAATTTGAGGGGGGGGGTTTCCTCCAAAAACACATACATAAAAGATATTTGATGGGGGGGGGGTTCGACCCCCCCCCCCCCCCCCCCTGCGTACGCGCCTGGATTCACCCCCAAAATAGCAGTAAATTCGCATTTGTGTTTACAAAAATATACATTAATCTTAACAATTTGAAAGCAATTTGAAAGTCAGCTAGTACATTATATATGATTCATTCTAGGGATGTTGTTATGCAACAGTGAAGGAGGGAGAAGAGAGAGACGGAGAGAGAGAATTAGAGATAGAGAGAGAGAATTAGAGATAGAGAGAGAGAACGATGAGCGCATGACAACAAGAGTGAAAGAGAGAGCGAGAGAGAGCAAATTAGGAAGTTTTAATAATACAATGTCTACATTCAATACATTATAACGACAGAAAGACATATAGGCCTATTATACATCACAATATAGATATTCGATATAAAAAGTGTGAACGACCAAGTTTGGTCAAATATCTAAATAAGGAACACCCAATTTAGGCGCTATTACCCCTTAAAGTGTGTATACGGTATGTCACTGAAACAGCTCCCGTAGAACTTTTGTGCCAAAATTGATTTTGTTTGTTTTGCTTTGTTGTTGTTGTTGTTGTTGTCGCATTTTTGGATTCATTGGAATCCAAGCTATCAGAAATTGATGGGGTTCAAATTTTCCCGATCCTCAACCCCTCTCTGGGGGGGGGGGGGGGGGGGGGGGGGGGGGGTAGTTTCCTATCATGGGACCCCCTAAAATTGGTGTGTCATTCATCTAATGACTGATTTTACAAAACTTGAGTTGTTTTCTAGAACTGTGATTATCCCTCAACAGCCAGAAAGGTAATTTGAAGACTTTCAGTTGGATAAACTCTCCAACAAACCCATCCCCATCCCTACCCCACCCCATGTCAGCCCAATTTGCGTACCTTTGTCATTGTTCGGCCAGCTGTTTTAAGGTGTAGTACTTTTATTACCATTATCATATATATTTACTAGCCCATTTCCAAACACAAAGAGACAGAAACAAACATACAGACAACCTACATGTATACACATCTACCTCCCCCCACACATACCCTTTCTCCCACACGCACATACTCACACACACCCAAACATTCACAGACAAGTGCGCTCATACTGATCGTCAAGTAAAATATCAACCAAAGAGAGGAAATAGTTTTCGTCAAAATGTCCTAACACCCTTGTCAATTGGACTGCCTCTTGCTATCCACTCTCGAGTTCGTGACAATTAGAACCTTGTTCAAAACCTTTCAGAAGTCTACATTGGAAGTGACTATCACAAGATACTTGATCTAGAAAAGAGAGTTGAGCAGTTCTTCAGCGAATGAAGGATGCTGAGGGGGTTTGGTCTTCCTGATTTTGTCAAGAAGGGTGTGAACATCTGGTTTGCCATTGACAACATTGATCTCTTGGAAGACACACCCACGTGGCAAGGAACCTTTCATGTAACCAACCAACAGGCTGTAGATGGAGAGCCAGTGAATCAACCACTTGTCATACCCGAGAAACTTTCTTCGCAAGCCCTTCTAGCATTTGAGATGAATGTGCTTCGATCCAGAGCCAGTTATCAGAACTAGCCCACTGAGATTTCAGGCCTATACAAGAAGAGGAAACAAAATCTCATTTCTCAAGAATTCATTCATACCTGGGCTCTTGTGAACTACCTTCCCAGGACCAAAATCCAATTGAAACCAGTTGAAATCTCCAACTGGTTTCAATTGGTTTCAATTGGTTTCAATTGGTTTGAATTGGAATACAACATTTCCAGTTGAAACCAATTGCCGAACTGGAAAATATTGTTATGTTTCCAGTTCAAACCAATAAGAAGTGCAACTGGAACCAGTAAGATAATTTTTCCAGTTATACTCAATTGGTTCCAGTTAGAATTCATTTCCAGTTACCCAACTGGTTCCAGTTAGAATTCATTTCCAGTTACGCAATTGGTTCCAGTTAGAATTCATTTCCAGTTACCGAACTGGTTCCGGTTAGCATTCATTTCCAGTTAGAAGTCATTTCCAGTTACCCAACTGGTTCCAGTTAGAATTCATTTCCAGTTAGAATTCATTTCCAGTTACCCAACTGGTTCCAGTTAGCATTCATTTCCAGTTAGAAGTCATTTCCAGTTACCCAACTGGTTCCAGTTAGAATTCATTTCCAGTTACGCAATTGGTTCCAGTTAGAATTCATTTCCAGTTACCCAACTGGTTCCAGTTAGCATTCATTTCCAGTTAGAAGTCATTTCCAGTTACCCAACTGGTTCCAGTTAGAATTCATTTCCAGTTAGAAGTCATTTCCAGTTACCCAACTGGTGCAGTTAGAATTCATTTCCAGTTACCCAACTGGTTCCAGTTAGAATTCATTTCCAGTTAGAAGTCATTTCCAGTTACCCAACTGGTTCCAGTTAGAATTCATTTCCAGTTACCCAACTGGTTCCAGTTAGAATTCATTTCCAGTTAGAAGTCATTTCGAGTTACACAGCTGGTTCCAGTTAGAATTCATTTCCAGTTAGAAGTTATTTCCAGTTACCCAACTGGTTCCAGTTAGAATTCATTTCCAGCTATCCAATTGGTTCCAGTTAGAAGTAATTTCCAGTTACCCAACTGGTTCCAGTTAGAATTAATTTCCAGTTACCCAATTGGTTCCAGTTAGAAGTAATTTCCAGTTACCCAACTGGTTCCAATTGGAAAATATTTCCAGTTACCCAACTGGATCCAATTGAAACCAGTTAATTTGTATATTATCTGCTTGAGTGCAGATCAATGTTTTATGTAATTTATTTTGATTTACAATGTATTTATTAATTAATTTTTATTTGCAAGTAATGCATTTGTTTTAGATAGATTAATTAGCAATGATAACATGTTCATAAATAACATATTTTTTTAATTACACAGATTCCAGTAGTAATTCCAGTAAAGGGTCGTTGTTATGTACAAGTGGAGTACAAAGGTTTAACTCACAATATGGCTGTTCTAGTAACTCCTGGTGATCGTCAACCATTGTTAGGCTTACAAGCATGTGGGGGAATTGAAGCTTGTAAAGAGAGTCTTGAATGTCAAAACAGAATCAAAGAATGCAATAGTAGATGACTATGAAGACGTGTTTGAAGGGTTAGGATGTGTTCATGGAAAGCATCATCACGCTAAAAGAACATGCTCAACCTGTACAACATGCATGTCGAAAAATTCCATTTCCACTGCGAAATCAGCTCAAGGATGCATGAGCTAGATAAAATGGAACAACTTAAAGTTATCACACCAGTGGATGAACCAAGTGATTGGGTGTCGTCGTTCGTGTTGGTGATGAAGAAAAACAATCAGCTTCGAGTATGTCTCGATCCAAGAGATCTAAATAGGTCCATAAAAAGAGAGCACTACCAGTTACCATCAAGAGATGAAATAACAGCACAGTTTGC